TATGTAGCTAAATCGTTTGCGGTGCAAAACAGCACTTCCCATTGTTTACATTGCTACTAAAGCATACTGTTAACGCTAGACACTGTACATGTCATGATCAATTTTAAAAAATAAAAACACAGCAGTGTGTGTGCGCGGTAAAAGTACCTTTGTGATCTCACAAGGGCCGGAAGTATTTTTTGTAGTCCCCAAAATTTGTTCCTTGTAGGCTTTGCTAAGCTAACTCTGTAAAAACCAAGGTCTCCCTTTGCATTGAACTTTGAGCTTTTTACATTCAGAGATGTTGTTTATGTTCACACAGCTACATTGCACACCAACTAAAGTTCAAAAAATGATATTGTAGTGAATCACCCCTTTAACCTTCCGTAAAACTGCTGTAGAATAAAAATGATTAGGGAAAGCACTATACAAAACTTTGTCAAATCAGCAAGACTAAGAAAATACACTATGCCACTGACAATGAGTATGTCTTCTAACACATTAAAATACTAAAACAGATCATTCAGAATTCAGAATTATGTTCTTTTCATTTATGCTTGTTGGAACTTTCCTCCAAAAGCTTTTGATGTTGAAAAGTTTGAAGTGACTTTTGTTGACATTTTCATAGTTAAAATTGTGGACAATTTTACTAGTGATATATTTGTGTCTGTGTTTGTGTATTAAATCATGGTACAAAAACCTGGTAATAAACCACCTGTACCTATTATGTTATTTTAAAGATTTAAATATCTCTGTATTATTTCTTAAACAATTTATTTTCTCAAACTACTAAAATGCCAATAAAAATCTCTTTGTTAATCTGCAGTGTTGAATTTACTTAATAAATAGAATACACAACCAGAAAATATGGCATATATTGTATATGGCATATCATGTGGCATATATTTGCTCAATTAACATACACTTGTAATCACATCTGTGCTAGAATTTAGCCTTCCAAGAATTAAAATCAAACCAGGCACTTCTGGTGTGAACATTTTTTTTCCCAAGAAACTTTGAACGAGTTAATCCTGACTGAAAAGGCCAGCTAACAATCTACCCTTCAAGTAAAATGAAAAGTATGATAAATTACAGGCTGACAAACTCAATTAACAACATATATACTTGTACATAGGTTGCTTGTTTGGAAAAAAGTGAGCTGATTTTAAAACATTGCCAAAACACTGGTTTAAAAACAAAATATATAACAGATATTTAATAATTTATAATGAGATGATAAACAATTATGTAGAAAAGGTTATTATTTACTCAACAGTTTGCATATAACTTAGTTGAAATATTTTCATCGTTCTAAATCCACATGCTGTTATTAGGGTTTAGTGTAATTAGCTTATTATTTTGGTTAGTTTCTAGCTAATAATGACTTAATGTTATGTCTAATTAATTATGTAATGTGGTCTCCAAATAACAGCTTGCGATGATTGTAACATTAGCTTGAAGGATGATTCTGTCTCTGATCATCAATGCAGGGCAATTTACTACATCCACACAAATTAACATTATAATTATTTAATTCTCGTGGCTTTTGTAGCTTGCAAAAAGCCATGAATGTTCCATTTATTTTACAGAGCCCCGAACACTGTAAACAACAGCACTGGCTGTAACGTAACGTACTACATTTAGTCGTATCTGCTTGACACTCTCCAACGCACATCAACGATATCGTAATTGAGACAATAACTATTTATGCACCATGCGAAGCTTAACACAAACACACAAAAAAGATAGTTAATATATGTGCGCGTTTTAAGCGGTCATTCATTTGCAGAATGAAGCTATACAACTGCATGACTGCAGCGCGGCCTACACTGTTAACACAAGCCTATATAACGATACAGCTAAAACGGACCCTTTAATGGCTCCATAAACAAATTCTAATTTACCCGAATATGATTGATGCGTCAAGTCCAGTTTCACAGACTATTGGGGATAACCTCCTAATCACATGCAAAAGTCTTGCAAAGCGGTCTTCCCCTTAGCCGCCGTCATGATGCTGGCAAGACAGCGCAAACTCTGCACACATTCAGCTTCCTGAAGCACAAAGAAGTGGATTGTGGGAAACTGGAGGTCTAATCCGAAGAATTGGTTTGCCTGAATGTAAAATAGTTATTTGGAGACAGAACACATAAACGCACACACAGGCTACATGGACATTATTTCCTGTTGTGTTTTAATGATAAAAGTATGTTCATTTAATTCTAAAATAAAAAAACAAAGAATTTAAAGAGTTTAAGCCACCTATAAAGTTACAAACAACAATGCGGACACGCATTATGATGAGTTGAGGCCAGTAGAGGCAGCATTTCACATTATATATATATATATATTATATATTATTATTATTATTATTATGTTTTAATTATCATATTTTTTTTAAAGGCCAAATTGTGACTAAGGACAGTTGCATGTGCTGGCCAGTTTGTTTTTTGTCTAATAAATGACAGTAGGCTACAGTTTTTTTTTGTTTTTTTTTACTTTAAACCTTTAACAGATTGCTATTTTTCATATTGATATATGATGTCATAAATTTGTGTTTTAAAAATTTGTCTTGTTTATTTATTTTTACATTTTTTAGGAAATATTTTTAGTACACAATTAAAGTGTGGTTATGATGACATCTGACTAGTTAATCCAGCAACAAAAAAAAAATCACTAAAACGCAGTATTATTTTATTATTAATGTGTTTATTATTAAACACAGTATTAAGTAATCTTATAGTATTAATTAATTAATATTTTATCCATAACCCGCAGTAAATAAAAATAGTAGTTTATAGTTACATAAAAAGCAACAACATGCAAATAAAAAGACCTCTGCCTTTAATTTTTTATAGGATCGTGTATTCGATTTGTATGTATGTAGATTGACAACACAGACTGATTTTATAGCACCAGGTTAAATTTTCTGACTTCTTTATGGTAATCAAATACATTGAAAATAAATACAGGCCACAACTGAACATTGAGGATGATCTCCAAAATTAAACCAATAGACTTATGCTGAAAATACAGGTCCACAAGGCTCATTGAGGTGAGGTTAATATTGAATTGTATGTTATTAAATTAAATTAAATGAATAAAATTTAACCATTCTTAGCATGTAGTCCTGTATAAGACTGACATTTATTTCACAATGGTTTTAAAAAAGACTTAAAAAGTCATACATTTGAAATAGTGACTGACACCTGCAGAAACCATGGTTGTGATGTTCTATATAAATTTTTAGACATATTTGCTTTACAATACATGACTCTCTTCTTTTTTGTACTATCTTGGTTACATCAAAAATGAGTAGACTATAAAGTATTAATTATCAAGCCAAAAAATGTAAAACTCAATTATGTATACACTACTATTTGTATAAAAGAATATGTGCAAATAAAAATACACACTTTTGTCTTTGCAGACTTTTCGTAATTTCATTAACTTGTGTTGTATTTCAGTTTTTCCTCAGTCGCTTTAGGACATTTCTCAGATTTGAATTTTTCCAAAACAGTAAGTGCATTTCTCAAAACAACACATACAAATAGCAAAACAGCATGTATTACCTAAAAAAGCCGGTCTCTTGCTTAAAATCCTTAGTTCATCTCTCAATGAACATGTCAGTGCCCTCAAAATGACAAGTACCTGTGCCATTGTGTACGGATAAGACAGTCCGTCATTTTTAGGGTCAGACCAAATCTGTGGACATTTTTTGCTATTTCTGCACAGAATTGTGTTAAAAATCTGCGGATTTATGCTGAATTATTTTAGGAGTATCATAACTAAAACCCTATTATATAAAAAAAGTAATACCTTTTTAACCTTTATTTAATGTTTACAATGCAAATCCAATTAGATAGATCCTCTTTATTTGGAAAACAAAGCAGGTCTTTCATATAATATATCTACTAAAAGACAGAAAATATTAATGTACAAACTTTATAGTAAATAATTAATATAATATTTTCATATTAGTCAATAATAATATTGTAAATAATTTAAAAACTGAATAAATATAGATTTACACACATTTACACAAGAAAAAAAAACAGAATCAATGATTAGCTAAGAATCTGTGGAATTCTGCACACATAGATTCTGTGTGTATATAAATGAGGTCAGAATTGTTAGCCCGCCTGAATTATTAGCCCCCCTGTTTATTTTATTTTTTTTTATTTCTGTTCAACAGAAATATTTTTTCAACACATTTCTAAACATAACAGCTTTAATAACCAATTTCAAATAACTGATTCATTTTATCTATGCCATAATGACAGTAAATAATATTTGACTAGGTATTTTTCAATACACTTCTATATAGCTTAAAGGGCAATTAAAGGTTAAACTAGATTAATGAGGTTAACTAGGCATGTTAGGGTAATTAAGCAAGCTATTGTATAATGATGGTTTGTTTTGTAGACATTAGGGGAAAAATAAACTTAAAGGGGCTTATAATTTTGTCCTTAAAATTACTTTTAAAAAATTAAAAACTGCTTTTATTGTAGCTGAAATAAAACAAATAAGACTTGAACACAGAAAATGTAATCTAATAATGTGTTGGGGTGACTTATATGCTGTTTTCTTGATCAAAATATTGTATTGTGGTACTATATGTTTGTGATGACATTTTGTCCAACAACATGGGAATTCTTAAACCACACACATAAACACACACAAAACAACAACCCACTCTTAAGGTTTGTTTCTTTATTAATAAGTATTATGTATTTATTTCTTATCAAGGGCTTTCTGTTTGCACTTTATTTTACAGTAGACCTACATGCACTTTAATGCTCCTAGGCTCAAGTTTAAGGCTTGGGATTATTTATTACCTATTCACTTTAATTAGATGCAGTATGTAGATGTGGAACTGGACTGTAAAATAAAGTGCTATAGCTGAACTGTAATAAGAACATTTAAAGTAGCCTGCACATTTATTTTTAACTAAATGGAAAAGTTCATTATTTGAATCTGTAGCACATTTCATAGTTTGCTCAGGTTGTCTGTAGCGGAAAAAATCATTGGGTTTTGTTGATCACATGTAAAGCTATGACCTTTGCAGCCAGAAGAGCCTCATTACAAGCCTGTGGGATAAAGCTGGGCGGGAGAAGAAAACCATATTGACCACGGTCTTGAAGCTCAAAAGTGAAGGAATATTTTATTCCTAGATCATATGCCCAATCATCAGAGCCTCCTGGAGCTAAATCTAAAGAATGAAAAAACAAAAACAGATGAATGTTTAAAATATTCGGGTAGGAATAAAAAAGCTATTTGTTATTTGTAACAACTGGTAAAAATCTTACAAATGGTTTTTGCACCGGATCCATATTTATAGTTATTCCTGTAGTATCTGCGTATTTTTGTTGAGGCCTCTTTAACAAGTTCAAACTGTCAGAAAAAAAAAAACACAAATTTACTTATAGAACTAAACATTTTGCATTTATTATTGATAAATGTTCATTATTTATAAATTGTCCCACAACAAGCTCAAATGCACACACCAGTTCATTGTGGTTTGGAATCTCATTATAGGAACAGGAGTAAGGAAACAAGAGCATCTGAGAATAGGAGTGAATGGAGAGGTACAGCTTGACTGTGTCCTTATGGGAGCGCAGGAACTTTGCCACAGCTTGGGTCTCTGGTTCAGACTCTGGAAACTGACCGCAATAAGTGGGATCACATGGATCATCGGAGGCTCCTTTAGCTTTAGAGCAAAGTGGGAGAATGAAGTCAGGAGTAAACTATTTTAACAGTGGTTATGAGACAAAGAATTAAAAAAATGCTTAAAAAATATAACTCTTGTATGTGGGACTCACTGCACCAGTTTGCATCAAAATTTCTGTTCAAATCAACTCCAGCACAATAGCTGTCTTTGTTTTCAGAACGATTTTTCCTCCACATACGATCCTGTTTGATAAATTGTAAATGGTAAAGTTAGTGAAAAAAGAGCAGATTTAAAAAATAAATAAATAAATAACATTTTAGATTTTGAGGTAAACTGATGTGGCAGTAAAAAAATGTATGGTACACTTTTTTCTTATTTCCTTATTTTAGGGAAAAGAATAATTCACAGCCACGTGAAATAGTGCAATTGAAGCAGCATATTAAATGCACTTTAACAGCAACAACAACAACAACAACAACAACAACAACAACAACAACAACAACACAACACTAAGAATTTTGGCATACTGTTGTCCAAGTGTACTTGTATCCATCTGGGTTCATGACTGTCAAGATGTAAATGTCCATTTTATTAAGCATCTCTGTGATTTCAGTGTTCTGGTTGTAAAATGCTAGTGCCTGTCAAAATCAAGAATAAAATAAATAGATTAAATAAAAAGTTCCTTATACACACAAATTTGCACAAGTTTACTACAATACTAATTATTACAGCTTGTTCTTATTTCTCAATCTCACTATATTAAGATCAAATAAAGACACAAATAAGCAGCCAAGCAAGGAAAACATTGTAAACATTGGGGGAAAATATATATGCACCAATTGGAGAGGCAGATGAGGATGTTGATCAAAATTGTGTCGTTTTAAGTAGTCAGAAAATTACAGCACAATAAAAAGCACATTACTAGTGCACTTAAAAAGATCTGAACTATTTGCTTATATAGTTTAAGCAAGGAAAACAGATTAACATATTAATAAACCTGATTTATTGCCTCAGTGGTAAATTTACATCTTGTTTTTAGGTACAGGAAAAGTACAGTGTTATTAAGCTGATGAAAAAGAAAACATAGCATGACACAGCATGAAAGCTAAGCTAATTAAGCTAATGCTGAAAGTAGATTTAACACTAACATAATTGACAAACCACATGCAAAAGGCTGGAGCGATCCACTCCCGTGCATGAATACCACAGTCCATCCACATGGCTCTGTTCACCTCTTCTTCCCTCTTGCCTGACAGCTACAGACAAAGAGACTGGTCATCATTTTAATTGGGAGTATGTGTGTATGTATGTATGCATGCATGTATGTATGTATGCATGCATGCATGTATGTATGTATGTATGTATGTATGTATGTATGTATGTATGTATGTATGTATGTATGTATGTATGTATGTATGTATGTATGCTCAGATCCACAACACATAATTAAATGTACCTTCAGAACATAGAGTGGCCGTTTCTCAGAAGATGATCCAATAAGAATGACCTTCACCATGTCTGAATGTTCTCGGCTGGTCTTATTTATCCAGTAGTAGATCTGAAACAGGTATGGTCAGATTGTGAAGGATTTCAAAAGGGATATTTTCACACTAAATTGAAAGAAAATGTTAAAGTGATTTTTTTTGTTTACATCTTCTAAGGAATGATATCTCTCATAGAAGACGCCTCCGCTTCGGGGATCTGATGTATCATTTCTGATCTGCATCGCAACAAGTGCTGCTGTGTTTTCCACAAGAACTCTGAACAAACGTCAAAAATTTTCTTAAATTCATTATCTCACTTTTTTTTTCCAGACGTCACATACATTTGATAAATAATATGAATGCGGGAATACTAACAATTAATGAACCAAAAAGTAAATTTAAAGGATTAAGGAATACACATTTGCTTACCTAAATGTAATGGCATGTTCACGAAGGTGTTCTTTGACAAACTGCACACTTGTTGACTGAATGTAAAGGTGAACTTCAGAGTTTGTTGTAATGTAATTGGGTGAAGCAGGTTGCCACAAAGCAGTCTGAATAAACACAGAAGAAAACTTTAACTCAAGCTCACAGGACTGGACTGAGGGTCAGTAGCAAATCAATTTACTGCCAACATTGTAGAGGCTATTTATAAAATTTGTACTACTTGAGTATTTGAGTAATTAAAAATCTACAGCAGATGTCACATCTCAGATGATTTATATATATTTATTTTATGACAGATTGCCTGTCAGCAGATATTAGAAAATCTCCCACCTCGTTGTGACTTGTAAGGTTCTGCACTTTTTCCACATGTTCCTGTGAGGATACAGTGATAGCCAAAACCTGGTCACTGTGTGTTGTGTGAAAAAAAGAAACAGTTGCAATCATTTACCTTGTATTAATGTTGCACAAAAAATATATACATATTATAATTAAATAAATAAAGTTTTTTTTAAAATATTTCCCAAATGATGTTTAACAGAGCAAGGACATTTTCACAGTATATCTGATAATATTTCTTCTTCTGCAGAAAGTCTCTTTTTTTTATTTCGGCTAGGATAAAAGCAGTATTTATTTATTTTTTTAATCCATTTTAAGGTCAAATTATTAGCCCCCTTCAGCTATAAATTATTGTCGATAGTCTATAGAACAAACCATTGTTATACAATAACTTGCCCAATTACCCTAACCTGCATTGTTAACCTAATTAGTTAAGCCTTTAAATGTCACTTTAAGCTGTATAAAAGTGTCTTGAAAAATATCTGGTCAAATATTATTTACTGTCATCATGGCAAAGATAAAATAAATCAGTTATTAGAAATTAGTTATTAAAACTATTGTTATTACAAATGTGTTTAAAAAAAATCTACTCTCTGTTAAACAGAAATAGGGAAAAAAACAAACAGGGGAGCTAATAATTCAGGGGGGCTAATAATTTTGACTTCAACTGTATTTATTTTCCTTTGTTTTAACCCCTTTATAGGGGTCACCACAGCAGAATGAACCACCAACATATATATATATATATATATGTTAGGTTGAAACTACAATGTTTGTGTATCCATTTAAATGGCCATGTTATTACTCCCAAACTGATTAAATAGTAAAATAAATCAAATCTATACAGTCAAAAATCCCTTTACCATGTTTTATTTTGAAAGTAAGTAACTGCCTTTCTTTCGCTGAGATTTACACTGATTAAATACTAAAAAGCCCCTTAGACTACAAAATATTAACAAACAACAGACATCTGATAAGTTGCATATAAGCTAAATTCAAGTAAATCAAAACATTATCAATTAAAGCTTTAGAGAAAATGTACTTACTGTTTCACTTTGCAGAGACACGTCTCAAGAAAGATGCTAAAACAGATGAAGTAAGCCAGCTGTATTAGGGCCCTCATTTTTTTTGTTCTGTCTTCAAATAGTTTGTGCAATAACGTGGACAAGGTAAGAGGCCAGTATTGATCTACAACTGTTTGTTTACTGGTTAAACTTTACTTTGAATTGGCTCTGTGTATACTTTTATATCAACAGGTTTTTGTAAAGATGTATTTTTAAAGAACTGTTATTATTTTATAATAAATATGGTCAGAAAATTAACAGTTAAGGGCAACATTGCTGGCCTCTAATAAACATTCATTTTCTGTTCGTCCTTTATTAATCAGGCGTCGCCACAGCAGAATGAACCGCCAACTTATCTAGCATATGTTTTACGCAGAGTATGCCCTTCCAGCTATGCAACCTAGCAGCCTACTGGGAAACATCCATACACACCCATACACTACGGACAATTTGGCTTACCCAATTCACCTATAACGATACCGCTTGTCTTTGGACTTGTGTGAAAAACTGGAGCACCTGGAGGAAATCTACGCGAACAAGTAAGAACATGCAAACTCCATACAGAAATGCCAACTGACCCAATTGAGGCTCGAACCAGCGACTTTCTTGCTGTGAGGCCACAATACTACCCACTGCGCCACCTCTATAAGCATTGCAGCAAAATACATGAGTTTAAACGTAACTCCTAATCCTAACACTAGGTGGCTTGCAAAGACAAGTTAATTTTTTTGTTGGCATCAGGCTCCGGTCCAGTAGGGGTCATTTGTCAACCCCTAGTAAAAACCCAGAAGAAGTTTAGAAAAGCGCTTCCGGGATCTGTCAGGTGACGTGTTGTGTTGTCATATATTTGGAGAAGATGTCAGCGCACGATCACTTTTCCCTTTGTCTGTGCGATTTAATAAGGTAATGATCTTAAAGTTATTTGATCAACTGTATAGATTGTGTGGGTTAGCGCTGAACAATTTCCTAACGGATGAATGCATAATGATAATATCTATGATGAGTTCATTTTGTCTTTAAAATGAATGGATGAATCTACCAGTCAGTAGGGTAAAGTTGGTTTTATATTCGCAGGTTCGGACTTTCTCCATGATAATATAATTTCAGAAAATTATTCTTTGCAAATTACAAAATAATAGGGGAAATCAAAGTACAACATTGTTCACAGTCAATTAAATAGTGCTAATGTTGTTTGAAGACATATGTGCATCATACCTAACATTTAAAGTAGCGTGGTAAACAATATAGGGACCGTGTCAAAGTTGTAGCTTTTCAAAAACGAACGAATGTGGGAATATAAAACCAGCTTTACCTCAATCTACTGAAATAAACAAGACTTTTACATGTCATCAATTTGTCGGATTAATACGTATCTTAGCACACAATAATCAGTAGGACAGATAAGAATATAATGGAAATCTGAAACATTGTACATTTGTTTTGTCTAAGTACTGTTTATTAGAATTTTAGTTATTTTAATTGCTACTCTTGTATGGCAACTGACATTAATGAGATTCTGGATAAATTGCTTGTGTTTTTGTTTTTTTGCTTCCCCAGGTTACTCTGGTCTCTTATGTTACCATGCTTCTATCTGAGTTTCCTCCTGACAACTATCCTTTTCCTCTTCATCATGGGGGTGAGAAGTTGGCTGCAGATGAAGAGGAAGACCAGAAGAGTTCAGGATGGCCGGCCTGCCGTGGCTTTTTTCCACCCATACTGCAATGCAGGAGGAGGAGGAGAAAGAGTGCTGTGGTGTGCTTTACGGGCTCTTCAAAACAGGTCAGATATTTCTGCTAATAAGAATATGGACATTGCCTGATGTTTCGAAAAGACTTTCAAAGGCTATGCTTGTGGCAGGCACACAAAGATACTTTTGTATTAAAGTTTTTTTGCTAACCATGTGCAATATGCATGTTTTTCGATATTTCAGTAATTTTCATACTTTGATCATTTTGAATTTTGATTTTGCAGCTCTAGTTTTGAATCGCTCAAGCATATTGTCTTAAATTATTCTGTCATGACATAACTCACAAGCCATATTTTTTTTTAAACTTCTGAAAATGTGTAAAACAATTAAAAGTAAACATGGTTACGTGATATTTGTTAATAAAATATGGATTACCATGAAGTCACTCTTTGTCATGGGACCCCAGCAGCAACACCATGACTGAAGCTATTGACTTGAAATCAGAATTTACAAGGTTGATTTTGCTCGCTCACATTATTCTTAAGGTGAATAATTAATCCATCAAAGTTAATCCGCTGAAAAATCTGTTTGTTTTTATAATTTCCAATGTAATTCTGATGATGTGCAAAAGAAAGTATTCTCAGTATTCCATTTCAGTTGGAAACAAATCAACATACTGAAAAAAAAAGTGTCAGCCCAAAACGTGTGACATCAACAAAGCTGGCCTTCACCATATTGAGCAAATAAATTCTGTATGTTTGCACTGCAGGTACCAAGATGTTTCTTTCGTAGTCTACACGGGTGATCAGGGGGTGACGGCAGAAGAGATTTTGGATGGAGCACGGAGACGATTTAACATCAGACTCCCCCGACCCGTTAAGTTTGTGTTCCTGAAGCATCGTCTACTGGTGGAGGCAAAACTTTACCCACATTTCACCCTTCTGGGGCAGAGTGTGGGCTCCATCTTCTTGGGGTGGGAGGCATTGACCGAGTTTGTTCCAGATCTCTATATTGACTCAATGGGCTTCGCCTTCACCTTACCCGTGTTCCGCTATCTGGGTGGTTGTCAAGTGGGAAGCTATGTGCACTATCCAACCATCAGCACGGACATGCTGTCTGTGGTTCGAGAAAGAAACCCCAGGTTAGTCAAGAAAGTCATGTATTACTATTATTTAGTAAATTAAATGTGAATAATTTATTTCATATTTAATGTTAAATGATTACTTTACATTCCATAATGGGCTTCAATAACACCACAATGACTGTGTTAAATATTTGTGTTTAGTTAAATCTGTTCCAGTTTACTTATTAAATGTGCATGTATTTTGTTTTATTTTGCACTGTGCATTAGTGTGTCGTATTCTAATAAGTTAAGTGCTAGTACTGCATTTGTACCAGTAAACACACAATTGGGATTGAATTAAATGAAATTATTTTATTGGATAGAAAATTTAAAAGACTTTCTTATATCTTCACCCTATTGACAGGAACAGTCATGTAAATTAATTGTTTTAAAGGAGTAGAAACCTTCACCTAACTTGGAGTGTATTAATACAAAATATATAAATAATAACTTATTTATATATTTATGTTATTGGTTTATACCAGTGGTTAATTATAACTAACCAAACAGCATTTAGACATAGTTTTATTATATATTAGGGATGCTCTGGTCAGGATTTTTGCAGCCGATACCGAGAACCGTTTTTTCTTTTTGTCATTTTGACTGGCCGATACTGAGTACTGATTTCAAGCTTTATAATGCATAAAGCACATTTTGCCTCTAAGTTTGAAACTTTATTGGTCTTACTTAAGAAAATAAATGAAGGATGTTACATATAATCCCTTAAACACCTCTCTTATAACCATTTAGGTATGAATATGTCATAGCCAGAATCAGATTTACAGAAAATAGTAGATAAAACAGTTGACTAATAAATGACTAACAAAGCAATTTGGAAACATAACAAATGATGAAAGAACAAGTTTGGAGTGCATATTTGATGCATAAGAAGTTAAAATGCATACCTATAAATCCATTACTTCTTTACTAAAAGCAAATAGCCCTATACGCTACTGTTTATTGCAATAATTATATTACAAAAAGTTAAATTCTCAAAAAAAAAAAAAAAAAGAAATCCCCCCCCCCCTAATATTTCTGGTCAGGTTTTAGTAAACTTTTAACATTGTCAAAGACACAGAACGTTCAATTCTTATATGTAAAAAGGCCTAAATACATGCAAGACCATTCCAATATTTTGCTCATCTACAGCGATTGACAACAGCACAATGACAGCTTTGCACAACCTCACAGCAGAGAGAGAGAGAGAGGACTTTCTTTACTGCACTATTCATCTAACCTAAGAAATGTAATGCTTACATCATCGTGTCACTTGCGATCTGTTCTCTTTCTCATTCACTCTCGTCGCCATGATTTCTGGGGTATTTTCTCTTATTTGCGGGTGTCACAGAGCGACTGTATATGCGAAAAACTCGCAGACCTCGCAGAGGTCATGCGGTTGCATGAGACCATAAAAGGGGCCGATCGCTCTGCTCTTGTCTCAAAACATTGGATATACAATGATTGCAACAAAGAAAGCATCACTCGCGTGAGTGGCAGCAATACACTGTAGCTGCTGTGATGCAAGAGCAGTGATCTCCCATGCCCACGCACATCATTTACCTCCTCATGTGTTGTAGCTGCTTTATGTTTAACCTGTATGTATAATGCATGTTTTTTTTCCTCTGCTTGTAAACTCGTAAAAAAACCCACTTGAGATTGGTTTATAAGATCGGCCAGATTAGCAAGTACTAATCTAGTCATTAAATGTAATTATCGACCGATACCGATCTCTGGTTGATAGATCAGAGCTTCCCTTATAATAATAATAATAATAATAATATACTACTACTTATTAAGCATTATTGTAATAAAGATTCTAAAAGTGAATGTTTATGTTTGTATTTGTGGCCTTCAAATGTTTGAATGGTTCAAGTAACATTATAAGTTTACATGCAGATGTTTGTAAATGTTCATTCCAGGTTCAACAATGCAGACTACATCTCCAGCAACCCTGTACTCAGTGCCATTAAAGTGATTTATTATTGCGTCTTCGCACTGCTGTATGGCCTGGCTGGCTCCTGTAGTGACGTCATCATGGTCAATTCCACCTGGACTTTGGGTCACATTCTGGCTCTGTGGCGCACTCCGAACCGCACCAGTGTGGTTTACCCACCATGCGATGTTCAGGCATTCCTGGATGTTCCAATTGGGGAAGACAATGAAGAGAAAGAGCAAAAGAAGTGTCACAGTCTGGTCTCTGTGGGTCAGTTCCGGCCAGAAAAAGACCATCAGCTGCAGATCAGGGCATTTAAAAAGCTTTTGGACAGAAAGGAGGTGGAGCCTGCGGGAAGAGAGGCTGTGAAGCTGGTGCTGATTGGTGGGTGTCGGAACCAGGAGGATGAAGATCGGGTTCTGATGCTGAGAGGATTGTGCCAGGAGCTGGGCATAGCAGACAGGGTGGAGTTTAAGCTCAATATTCCATTCCAGGAGCTGAAGAAAGATTTAACAGATGCCACTATCGGGTTGCACACAATGTGGAATGAACATTTTGGCATTGGTAAGATGATGAATATCATGCTCTCAGCCAGTTTGATCGCAAAACACTAGATTTCCCTTTTCTCTTATTTTTTTTTGTAATAAATATACTTTTATGATTATGCCAAGCTGTAATATGTTGTATTGGTTAAACTCAAAGTAAAAAAAAATCTATTTATTTCAAGAATGACTTGACTGTCATCATCATCAAACAAAAAAAAAGTTTGTTGTAGAATAATAATCACCTAATAAATATTATGTTAAATATTTATTTTCTATTCAAAAACTTAATTAAATTGATCAATCAAAAAAAAGCTCCCTTAAATTAACATGAAATAATAACTAACATTAACAAATAATAAATAACTTATGTATTACTTTATACAGTCAAGTCTGAAATTATTCATAACCACGCCAAATTTTGACTTAAAAGGCACCTATGCTGAAAATAATTTTTTTGTAAGCTGTTTGGACAGGACTGTGTATATGTTTAGTGTGTCCACAGTCATATTGGGGTGATATAAACACAGCAAGTATCTTTTTTGAAATTTCCTGATATTAAAATAGGATCCAAATCCCTCCCATTTTAGGGCTTATCGCAACGTGAAATAGGAGTGCGGTTTCCCTGCTTGAATTGATCGACAGCCTCATATTAACATGTTTCCGTAGTAACACGTACAATCATATCAACCATAGAGGACGTGGGCAAAGCAACTGGGTTTAAAGGATCAGAACTTGCTATGATCATCAATCATCATCCAATGTGACCGAGTTTTACAAGTTTAAAATGTGTTTAAAACAGTGCATGTTTGTAATCAAGACAGTATAATCGCTGTAATTCATCACCACAGCCGCACGTCAGTACAATTATAAAAGAAGATGCTTAATTCCCAGGATGTGGCCATAAATTAGGTTTATTTTGTACATTAACATAATGGACATCCATACCGCAGTCGATATTAACATGTATCTTGTCATATTTGTGTGCAAAATCAATGCAAATTTAAATGCACACACTGAGTGTGTGTCTGTGCGTGCGTGAACTTTGTAATGATGTTGTGTATGACTCATCATTGCAACTCCAAAACAAAAACATCAAATAATAATCATTGAGAAAGTTCTTACTGTAGTATTTCTTAAAAACGTTACGTGAGATCTGCTTCCTTTATGTCTGTCACTGTGCTGTTTATCTGACGCAGCCGAAGTGGAGATTGAGGCACACTCTGACAGGCACGTGGGAACGGTAGGCAGGGAGGACTAGCATTAAAGGCACAGACAACTAAAAGCTACAATGTGTTTAAAGCAGAAGATTCTAATGCTCTGAAAGATATATAAAAAATAATTGGGTGGGTGTTTTGAGCTGAAACTTAACAGACACATTTTGGAGACACAAAAGACTCAACTTAAATCTTGAAAAAGGTGAAATATTGTTGGCATTTAAATTGCTTGTTCAAATGCTAATAAAAGCTGAGAATATTATATTTTAAACAAAATCACAATGATGCCTCTTTGTGCACCACTGGTTGAATAAAAGTAACTTTGTCAGAATTTGCCAGGGGTATGAGTAATTTTGGGCTTGACTATATGTAATATTATCACCTTTAGATAATAAAAACTAACATTGTTTGCTCGTCACCTCAGTGTTTTTTAAAATATTGGTTATTAAATTTTGAAAAGATTAATAAATGATTTCAAACTAAATATGTCATTACCACCCTTTGTTAAAGTGCAATGAATTATTATGAATAAACACATAAAGTAAAATACTTCATATGATGCATCACTCTGCAGTAAGGATTAACCTGTCAGCATTAAATAATGTTAATATAAGACAAACCAAAGTTGCAAACTGCTTTAAAATTTTGAACCAATGTTGACCGATGGAGCTTTATTATAAAGTGTAAACATATTTGTATCTGACAGTAATTCTGAGATCCTTTGTCATCTGTCTGCAGGTATAGTGGAGTGTATGGCTGCAGGAACAATAATTCTAGCTCACAAATCTGGCGGTCCAAAGTTGGACATTGTAGTTCCATACGATGGTGGTCCCACTGGCTTTCTGGCAGATGATGAAGACAATTACGCAGACGCCATGGAACGAATCCTTTCTATGAGTCCTGCTACTCGGTTAGAAATGCGACGCCGGGCCCGTCTATCCGTCTCCCGCTTCTCAGATCAGGAGTTTGAAGGTTCATTTCTGTCAGCAATGGAGCCTCTGATGTCAACATTGAGAGCGTGAGAGTGAAATAGCCCTGTTTCCGTTTTACAGACTGTAGCGAATCAGCCTGACGCACTTTAAGCTTGCACTGGCCCTATAATGCTGATTGTGAATCATTCCTTGTGTAGAGCAGCTCATAGCAGCCTGTCTTGTGACCATTTGCTCTGTCTTTAAAGTAAGGGGTGCATGAATGGAATTGCTGGTGTTGGTTAGATGCCAATTTTTTGCTTTAAGTTAATGACAAGAATGAAAGATTTATGTACTGCTGTCATTTGTTTCATTTAAAAAAAACAAACTTCTTGTTTGTTTCATATCACTTTAGTGTGTTATATATGATATTCTGCACTAGTAATACTTGGACTTGTTTTCTTTTATAGTAAGAGATTTCAGATTTGCATAACAAAAGTTTAGTTCACTAAAATTATTATTTTTTTTTGTGTGGAAGGTTTAATATAGGGTTTATGTTGGTTTACTTGTTTTTTTTTTAATTACACACATAATAAAAATGCAAGAGTGGTGCAGATGCAGCACAGATGGTTGCCCGCATAATTTCATTAGCAATATTTATTTATTATTTTATTTTCAGTTATTACATTGAAATGCTTTGTGCAACTCTCCCATTTGTCACGTACAGCTGTCTAAACTTTTTAGATTACCTAACAAAACTCCAGTATTAGATAAGATTTTTTTTTTTTTTTTACATTATAAGTGCTGTGTACAGAAAAGACATCCCGGGAGCACAGATTCTGGGTAAGAGAAAGTGTATAGATAGGAAAGCGACAGAGAGTTTCCAAATTAAACAGGGCATGGAGGAGGGAATGGTGTGGGCTGAGATTTAAAAATCTAGGTGTTTCTAGTAAATTCATAGTTTTAAAGTTTAAAGAAAACTGCTAACCGATATTAAAACACACACAGATACAGAGAATTTGGGAGTAAAATACATATAAATAACTTGGATCTAAGTAACTTAGATTTTTTTATTTAAAAGATCAAATATGGGACTTTTAATTTGAGTTAAATGAGAAAAGCTTTTTATATTACCAAAGAGATTTTATTTATACATACAGTGCTCAGCATATATAAGTACACCCCTCACAAATCTCTCTTTTAAATTCATATTTTTAATAGGAAGCTAAACAATATATTTGTGCATATACATTACATTAGTCAGTACTGAAGCCAAAAGTGGAGCTTATATAACAAAATAATTTACAATGGTCCAAAACTAGTACATTCAAATTTTTGTTATAGAAAAATATTAAATAAAGATTTTAAAAAAAAGAGGAAAAATCAACAGAAGCAAAAAAAAAAAAAAAAAAAACAATTTGTTGAAATGTTGTAGGTTGTCATTTATTTTGCAGTAGTTTGCTTGAATTTAATTGTATTAACTTTCAATTTCTTAATATGTTTGGTAACTAAATTATTATTTTTCATTAGTATATCTGTTTAATAAACCTGTTTTGTTTAAATGCACCAAAATACATTGCCTATATTCACTGAAAAATGGAGAAAAATATATATTTTCAAAATGGGGTGTACTCAATTATGCTGAGCACTGTAAGAGTACAGTATACAGAAATTAGCAATTGGATACTGTAACACACACACACACAACAAACAAACATACACACAGACAGAGAGTGTGATATCATTGTATCCAGCCTGTTCAGTTAACCTGCAGAAAATCCTGTTGTTCACAAAAAAGGGATAGGAAATTAATGTATTTATCATTAAAATATGAAAATGAATTCACTTGAAATAATGTCTGCATAAAACAAAGAACAAACAAGTATTGGCATTAACGTCAAAGCATCCTAATGTACAATTGCAATGCTAAATTTGCAAACCTATTCAATAATATAAAAATATTTTATCATTTTTACCAAAATTACAAAAACTCAATGATCATTCTTTACAATAAGCTTCCACTGTAAAAAAAAGGAAATGATCAATTAGTCATAACTGCTTATGTTTTTAGTTCATTGTAACTTAAACTAAGTGAATCATTTTCTAATTTAATTGTATAAGTTACATAAGCTAATTTAACTTTAACATAATTTAATATAAGTTCAAAATTAACTTATAGTTAATTTGATTCAGTTTAAACATTTAAGGTAACCAGGGTTTTTCTACTGCGCAGTAGTTCATGTATTTACTAAAATTAACTAAGAATGATTAATACCTGTTCAACATTTACTAATGCATTATTAAAAAAAATAAAAAAAAATAAATAATAATAATAATAATAATAATATATATATATATATATATATATATATATATATATATATATATATATATATATATATATATATATATATATATATATATATATAGTTGTTTGATTTTTGTTTTGTTTTTTGGTATTACCTTCAGAAAAATCCTGCAGGTTCTGCATATTCTTTTGTTTTTGTAGTTTCAAGATTAAATGATTTTCACACTAAGGATAATTGAATGTAGTAAATGTATAGTGACTAATGCAGTATCAATACTTTTACATTTTTGATGTTTCATAAATTGTATACTGTGCAAAATTTGATTGAAGCAAGCTGCATAATAATGATAAATTACATTGCAACAATCCAATACAGTGTAGCAACACCTCTATTATTGGGACATAGTGTCCAAACTATCAACAAGTTCGATGAACTTTGAACACATCTTTATTTTGGGGGCAAGTGAGTAGTTCAAATGTTTTAATAATAATTAAATAGTTTCTTTAGTTATTCTGACCACCAAGGAAACTTTTTTTTTGTCTTTTTGCTCTTTCATCATAGTATGTGGATTACTTTGCAGTGTCAAGATAAGATCGTATTAAATATCACTCTCCGGCATGTACTTTTTTTGCAATTATTTACACGACACATTGTCCAGACAGTCTGGATGAACTGGACATTCCTCCCTTGAGCTTTCCTTTAACCGACAATGTGAAGTCAGCTTCATTTTATGTGCACAAAAAATCTTCCAACAAATACTAATCACACATGCATTTCATTTGTTCAGATGCTGGGAATAATCACCATTTGAGTTAATGTTTAGAAGTAAATACAACAGAAATCTAGCAAATAGTTTAGTATTCATTATTCTTTTAACAGGATCAACAGAGTTATAAATGCGTATATGCAACACCATAAAATATGTGGATTGTTTTAGGACAACATGAAAAAAATTAGTGAAATGATTAGTTACAAATTTAAGCGGGTTGAACATAACACAATTAAGTTGTCCAAATAACTGAAGAATTGTATTCTTTCAGCTCAATTTTCAAAACAACAATGTCTGTTTTTTTATTTAAATAAGAACTTCTGTAAACCTCAGGCCAGTAGCCATGCAGGGGGGTTCGGGTGGCTTGGAAGACCCATCCCTCACTGACAAAGGTCCAGAATCTGTGCCTTTTGTCACATTCATGAGTTCATTTGTCCTATTTTAACTGCTATCAACATATAATTTATGTCATCATAAATAGTAAAAATAACCCATCGAAAAAGACCAAGCGGATTCCTGGACTTCAGTTAATCAGTTTCGGCCAATGCAAACAATTATTTTATTTAAGAGTCCAACATCCAGCTGTGCAAGAAAACATCTGGCATATGTCATCTTCCGCTACTGTATTGTTTTTCAATAGAGAAAACGTTTGACAAGTAACTTATATTCTATCAATCTTGGAGCTTATTCTTGAAGGAAAACATGAACAATAAAAAGTGTTAAGCACCAAAAGCGGCCTACATTAAAATCTTTTAAATACTATATGTAAAAATATATTTTGCCTATTGTTGTTATCCAAGAAGCTGTAAATGTACTTTTTTTTTTTTTACAAGAGAGGCTAGAAAAATTGGTAAGCTCAAATTATTATTATTATTGCTATTATGTTTACATTTTGTTTATTCAAATGGCCAAATTTTGACTGAGGAAAGTTGAATGTGCAGGCCAGATTGTTATTTGCCTTATAATAATTTTTCCCCTAATGATACATGATGTAATAAATTTCTATTTAAAAAAAATATCTGTCATATTTCTTTATTCTAAATATTTAGGAAATATTTTTAGTACATTAAAAAGTGTAGTTATGATGACCAGCCGACAAGCTATTCTTGCTAAAAAAATGCTTAAATATTTACCTAAATTCAGTATTTAAATCTCATAATTAAATATAAAATGAGGCAAATAACTGCAAAAAGAACCATCCGTTTTACCAGTCTGGCTAGGGACCTGCACCTTTTTATCCCATACATTATAAGGTGACCCATACTTTACTCACAAACCCATTTTATATTATTTCACAATAGCATTTTCTTGTAAATTATTACAGAATCATTGTTTATCATGCATGGGGTAACTTGGTTTCGTTAACAGCTGTAAACTGTAGCACTTTGTAATTTACTGTTTTCCAAAATACATCGCTCTCAAATGTCTGACATTTTTTCATCTTTAAAATTGGATTGTGACAAAACAAGCATAAATCCCAAAGTTCCACTTTACCCAGACATACACAAGCAGGAGAGTGGTGCCAAATTAAACATGGCCTTATACTAGGAAAGGAGGAGGAGAACTAAAGGAACAGTTCAAATCAGCACCGTTTAGTGGTAGAAGCATCCAGTCTGAACTGACAGATGAAAATGAGGTGCTGTGTTTTTCTCTATCTGCTCCTGCAGGTTTTGGGAGGTTTAGGTGAGTGTGATAAATATCAATTTGCCAAACTGGTAAGACATAATTCTCTGTTACTTTATTTTTAATGTAAAAATGTTTGTGTATTTTTCACGTGTGGAGCATGTCAGCAATTTCATTACTTAAACTTTTACTCATTCTTGAGTTGTTTTAATTTTTGTTCTTCTTCTGTTAAGCATAATAGAAAATATGTTTTTAAAGAATGTTGTTAACAGTTTCCAACATCAGTTTGTGTCCCTTTAAGCTTATATTTGTACTACTTCAAGTTTTTAACTCATTCCCAAATCTGATAAGTCTACTAGTCTATCATCTATTGACAATAAAATAAGAGTTAATTGAAATAGTTCACTGGAGTCAACAGAGGTAAACATCTAAATAAAGTGTAACCATGTTTATTATTGAAACTTTTAACAATCCAGCATTCCAACAAAAGTGCCTAAAGTGTTTAAACAATAGTTTTTTTGCACACCCTTGTGAATTCTTATGGACAGTTTACCCAAAATTAAATATTTGGTCAACATTTACTCACCCTTCAACCTGTTGGGCGTTCCTTTTTTATTTAGAAAAATCTTGTAATTTGGTAACCATTGACTTCCATAGTATGTTTTCTAACTATGGGTGTCAATGGTTACAAGTTTCTAACATTCTTCAAAATGTTTTATTTTGTGTTCAACAGAAAATAGAAACTATTTTTAGCGAACTAACCCTTTAAGTCAGGGGTGTCAAACTCAATTCCTGGAGGGCCGAAGCCCTGCACAGTTTAGTTCCAACCCTGCTCCAACACACTTACCTGTAGGTTTCAAACAAGCCTGAAGGACTCAATTAGTTTGATCAGGTGTGTTTAATTAGGGTTGAAACGAAACTGTGCAGAGCTGCAGCCCTTTTGGAACTGAGTTTGACACCTGTGCTTTAAGTGATTAACAATGATCTTCGATGTGCGGTTACAGGTCTTCCCCTTTTCGAGCTAAGCTCCAAAGCAGATGATGCTCTTCAGATGGCCCTCAATGAGATCAATGCACACTACACCAGGATTCACCTCTACAGAGTGTCCAAGGCATCTGTGAAGAAGGTATACTAAGATATACTTTCAGAACTACTCTTTCTGCATCTGGCACAACTGTGACTGCCTGGGAAATTGTGACATCTCAACACTTAAACGGAGAGTTCACCCTAAAATAGAATTCTGTAATCAGTTATTCATCCTGCACTTGATCCAAACTTGAGCTTATTTCTTCTGTTAAAACAAAGGAAGATGTACTTAAGAAATTTGGGGAAAAGCAGTTATTGAGTTCCTTAATATTTGTTTTGCTCCAACTATGGATGACAATGGCTGCTTTCCCCCATAGCAACATTCTTCAGAATATCTTGTTTTGTGTTCAAGTGAAGAAAGAGATCAGTTAAAAAGTGAAGTGCCACTTACAGTAAGTGTGTGCAAATGGTGAGAAAATCTTCATTTTTGAACAAATATCCTCTAGGCTAATTTTCAAAACTCAACACTCAATCAGCTTTTAGATTGGCAAGCAGTTCATTCATATTCAAAATGCACTAAAATGTTCTAAATCAGCATTTTCTTGTATAAGGGTTCTGACTCTTTCATTGACACCAGATTCAAGGACTTTCAAAAGCACCGTTAATTTGAAATCAAGCACCAACATACAGTACATATATCGCCATGAACTTGTGTTGAATTCAATACTGGCAATACTCTGAAAAATTGATACAATTTGCAGTACTTCTCATTAAATATTTTAAAATGAAGCATTTCTCTCTTTTTTTTTTTTTTTTTACATAAAACACCCTAAACTCATTTTATTTCAAATTTAACTCGAGCACTTTTTAAGGAGCTGTGTTTGGTCTTAAGAACTTTCCAGGCCTTGAATTCATGTGTCTAAAAACTGGGGGAACCCAATTGTGTTAAAACAGCAATGACATAGACCAGGTTTTCTTATAAAATGTAAGAATCATACAAAATTATTTCTTTTTATACAACTATGTATTGAGAAATGCAGAGACAAAATTTCTGAAAACTCTACACTCAGAAATAAGGGTAGGTGAGCTGTCACTGGGGTGGTACCTTTTCAAAAGGTATACAAATTTGTACCTAAAAGTTCCATATTAATACCTCAAGGGTACATATTAGTACCAAAAAAGTACAAAAGTGTTCCTCTTAAAATGTTTAGGTACTCGTATATAAGTTTGAGGTACCAATATGGACTCTTTACGTATAAATGTACACCTTTCGTAAAGGTACCACCCCAGAGACCCTGAGAGTGTATAATACTATAATATCAAGTGGCTAATGCGTGTCAGTCCGTCATTGTCTAGTTTGTAGTTGATCATTTGCTTTTGTCCACCTTAAGATTGTTCCTCTGGGCATGAACACATTTGATCTGCATCTGAAGTTTGGCATTAGGGAGACCGAGTGCAAGAAAAGCTCTGGACTCGACCCTCAGGGCTGCATGTACCGCAAGGGATTTTTTGTGGCAAGTTGTTTCATGTTTTTTTCATTGACTTTGTTTCTATTGTTGTATTGTTTTCCAACATTTATAAATCACTACACTGTAAAAAAAAAAAAAAAAAATCCTGGTTGCCTTAAATTTTTAAGCTCACTGAACTTCTATTTTGCTTAACTGACTAAAAACAGCTTGTGTAACTTATAAAACATGGACATGATTATCTTAGTTTAAGAAGTTACAATGACCATATTTCATAAAACAAGGCGGGAGGCCTTGTTTTCAAAATAGGGTGTACTTATTTATGAATGAATGCAGTGTTGGTGAGCATAATTCAGTAAATCAAAAAATCTTTACCTACACTAAAATTGATTGAATTATTCTTTCTATTATGCGTGCTTAATTCCATTGAAACAGTATTGGTATGCTTTGTAGTAACTTTTATGAATTGTTCTGCTTTCAGCCAGAGGCAGGATGTTATATGAGAGCGCGAACGACACTGCAATCCACTCGTATCATCGCTCTCAGATGCACAAAGGCAGACAGCTTAAGCTCTGAGTCCAGTGAAGAGGTGAGCTCTTTACCATGGCTCTACAAATAAAAGCACGAATAGCTATTTTGGTATGAAGTTTGAAAAAGAAAAACTGTTCACTATTAAATAGAATGCACTTTTTGTAGAAGTACATTACTGTAATATGACTACACAGTATTTGTATACACTTTTAAGGGACAGTTCACCCAATAATGAAAACTAATTGCACTAAAATGTTTATAAACATTGAACACTGAAGATGTTTTGAATACCTGTAAACATTGAAACCCATAGTAGCAAACAAACGCTATGAATGTCAATGGATACAGGTTTCAAGTATTCTTCAAAATGTGTTATTTTGCGATCAACAGAATAAATTAAGTCCAATGTGTTTGGAGCAAGTAAAGGGTGAATTTTGTAACTATCCACTTAAGTAAGCTACTAGACCAAATCATTTGATATGTTAACATGATAATGGAGAGAGATGACAATCTGAAACCAACCAATTATGATTTCGCCAACAGGGAGCATTAACATCATACATCGATTTAAATCATTTCTGGTTTACAGGTAAGCAAATTCCTGCAGTCTTTCGCCCTTTCATATTTGATGTATAATTATTGTCATCACAACATTTATAATTGTTTTAACATATCTGTAGATCGCACACATTCAACTACATCGCCAAGCATTCACCTTGGTCCACCAATGCATGAGAGCCATCATGCCAACAGAGAAGACAGCCACGTTCGTGGAGATCACTTCAACAATCATCTGCCATATCACTGACCTCGCATGAAGATTCTTCATACTAAAAAATTAAGGTGCTACAAACATAAAGCTAAACCAAAAGACTACTGTACTACAAAAAAAAATCCCCTAGAAGCCTGTAACTTTATAGACTGTACATAAATATGAACAGAAACCCGCTGACTAGGAAACCCAAAGAAAGAAACAACCACGCATGATATCAACATGTATAATTTCATTTTAAATTACACATTTTGCAGAGAGATATGTAGAGCATGATGTTCATAGACCTTCCATGTATCAAGACCGGATACTTAATAATTTAACATTACCTTCAGTTTGTTACTTCTTATCTTGATAAGTTCCATGATATTGTAAATACATTCAATAAACAAATCCTTCAAAATGAAATAAGATGCATACTTGTTTGTAAATATGCAAAGTTGCTCATGTAGAGCCATTACACATTGGTGCTCACTGTGATATTCATGTCAGTTGCATGGCATGTCTGAACAGGGAAAATCAGGTAAAACATACAGGAAAAGACACTTTTTTTTTTGTAATAGCCTGTATCATGTAAGGCGACAATATTTTGATCTGTTGTTTGATAAGCATGTTTTAGATCTTTTTAAGGCATGGCTGTATTTATGAGCCAATAATACATGGTTATAATACAGAATATAAGATAAATCTATGTGAATATTGATTGTGTCATTCAGTTACGACTTAAAAGTCAACCATTTCTAAGTCAGCTTGAATGCTCACCAGCCGAAGTGAGGACCAATAAAGAACAGCAAGGCAGTCATTTGTTTCACCTAGACAAAGATACTGCAGCAAATGAGAATATCTACAATTGAAACAAGTCTAGTCAAAAAAAGCAAACATTCCACAGTCTCAGAACTAGACAATGACACAACTCCCTGAACAACGTCTCCTTCATTTTACAGTTTTGACAATTACAACTAAAACTCACTTAAAGTGGCTCAGAGAATAATAGTGATCATGGTACATGCTAAACGCATCACCTTAGCACTGGGTCTGCCACATAAATGTGGAAGTTGTGCTGAGCTATTAAACCAAGCAAACTCGCTGTTTATGACGACATACCCATGATAATACTCCTCAAACAACAATCATTCAACCATTTAAAAAACTTCAATCTAAAATAACAAAATCTCTTCAGATTATTAAATAATTGATAATATAAAAAAAAATAATATAAAAATTCAAATAAAAATAATTCAATTTAAAGTTCAAACCATTCATCTTTCCGAAAATCAATGAGATTCTTTTTTATGCAGTTTTGTTTTCCATGCAGTACCAATATGTTGAAGTGGAATCACTTTGTTGTTTGGAATTGGAACTGATACACTGTCACAAAGCCACTGTAAAGCTGACATTTTTGAGGCTTTTGTACAGAATGAGCATTAAGCATAGCAAAAAAAAAAAAAAAGTCTTCTTCTCTACAACTCTATGAGATACACAAGAAATTAGCAAGCAAGAGTGTTCAAGAAAAGATACAATTGTCTTAGTTTGTAAGTTTGGTACTGTGGTCCCGCTTGGGTGGGGCAGGAGGAGGCCCTCGCCGTAGTGTTGCATAGCCTGAGATGTTCCCGGACATGAAACCACTGCCACTGAGCCTCTGCTGGTCCTGCAGAAGTTCAGGGGGAGGTGGTGGCAAAACCATGTCATCCATTGTGGCCACAGGGTCCACTTTGTCTCCAGAGACTCTTGAAGACTTGCGTTTCAGTGTCTTGTTAAGGTCCTCCAAAAAGTTTGGCTGTGTGGTGCCTTTGGGAGAATGGGGAATTGGCCCCCCGTGTATGGAAGGTGGTGAGAGTGGTGGAGACTCTCTAACAGTGTTATTACAGCGAAGTGATGCTGGAGGTTGTGTCTTCTTTAGGGAACTTTTGCCCCAAGCAGGCTGAGGCTGAGGATTGACTACGGCCACTTTGGGAGACACACCATTTAGATCCCCTGGAAGAGGTGGTGGTGGAGGGAGGTCGGACTCTATTGGCGGAGGTGGGAAAAAATCATTTTCTGGGGGTGGAGGAGATGGAAAGTCTGCCGCTGACTGGCGGTTCTGATTGAATTTGTTCTGCAAAGCCAAAGGAAGATTTGCCAGATTGAGCTTCCCTGGTTTGGGGGGTGCTTGAGGGCCTGCAGAGAGCTCCTTTGAGGGTGAACAGCTGGAGGTTGATGTTGTTGATGAAGCAGAACTTGGGTTAAACTTGCTCACCAAGTTCTTCCGGGACTCCTGGTATTCCGTTGAGGCATCGTACTTCACACTGGAGTTGCGCTGAGGAGTTGGCGGTGGTTTCTTAACACCTGCAGATGAGCCAGAGGGAGACTTTTTGATAGGGGAGCCTGACATCAGAGGAGGAGGAGGAGGGGGAGGAGGAGGAGTAGGACCTGGAGGAAGAGGAGGAGGTGGTGGTGGTGGAGGTGTTGGTGAAGCAAAGCCAAGGGCATTGTCTGGTGGAGGTGGTGGAAATTCAGGTGACCTCTGTTGCTGCTGGCCTTGACCTACAGGCTGCCATTTTGGCTTAACCTTCACTGCAGGTGGAGACTGGGGAGCTTTGAGACTATCTGTTTGATTGGTTAATGCAGGAGATGCAACAGGAAATTGACTAGCAAGCTGCTTAACCATAGACGGTACTGAAGAAGTTTGACTGGAGAAGGGCAGTGTCTTGGAGAGGCTGTGCTGCTTGGGCAGTGTAGGTGGAGGCTGATTCTTCAATGGTGCAGGTGGTGGAGGAGGAGGTGGAGGAGGAGGCGGTGGTGGAGGTTGAAGTGCTGGAGCTACTGGGGATACTGGAAGAATGCCACATGAAGGTTTGGGTGCTTTCTGAGGTGGAAATCCACCAGTGAAAAATTTGGGTAAAACCGCAGGTTGATTTGCTAGATGTATGGGGGCTGGTGGGGGAGGAGGTGGTGGTGGTGGGGGTGGTGGTGGATTTGAAGTTGAAGTAACATGCTGGTAAGGAGGGAGCGTAGGTGCAAGTGGTGGAGGTGGTGGTGGTGGGGGAGGTGGAGGAAAATTGTTTTGATTAGCTGGGGGTAATACATCCTGTGGTGTGCTGGGAAATTTATGGGCAAAAGCCTGCTTAAGCCCATTAGTGATTAAAGGTGGAGGAGGGGGAAGGCCATTAGCCTGGAGAGGGGGTGGAGGAGGTGGTAAAGGCTGTGATTGGAATGACACTGTGGGAGGAGGTGGTGGCATGGGCTGTGACTGCATTTGCACTAAAGGTGGAGGTGGTGGAAGAGGATGTGATTGCATGGGCATGATTTGTGCAGGCGGCGGTAGAGGCTCTGACTGCATGGGCATTATTGGTGGAGGAGGTGGTAGAGCATGTGACTGCATGGGTGTTATGGGTGGAGGAGGTGGTAGAGCATGTGACTGCATGGGTGTTATGGGTGGAGGAGGTGGTAGAGCATGTGACTGCATGGGTGTTATGGGTGGAGGAGGTGGTAGAGCATGTGACTGCATGGGTGTTATGGGTGGAGGAGGTGGTAGAGCGTGTGACTGCATGGGTGGAGGAGGTGGTAGATTGTGTGACTGCATGGGTGTTATTGGTGGAGGAGGCGGTAGAGGCTGTGACTGCATGGGCATTATGGGTGGAGGAGGTGGTTGAGGCTGTGACTGCACTGGCATTATGGGAGGAGGAGGTGGTGGTGGAGGAGGTGAGGGGGGGGAAGGGGAGATCTGTGGAATTACTGCTGCAGCTGGAGGGCCGAGCTTCAAAACAGCCATGGCTGAACCAGGTGGAGGCATTGAGGCAGGTGGAGGTGGAGGAGGAGGGGGTGGGATGTTAGCACCTGATGGAATATTGTTTGACTGCGGTTTGGAGGGTGGTGGTACTGGTGGCACTTGCTGCTGAATTTGAGGCTGAGGCTTGTGGTGACTTGTAGCCTGAGAGGCATTTTGCAGCCGAGTGATAGTGCTGTATTTGGCAAACATGGTAGGAGTTGCATGGTGAGGGATGCTGGAAATAGGAGGAGGAGGTGGTGGAGGAGGAGGTGGAGGAGGAGGTGGTGGAGCTGGAGCCACTTGGGGTGGTGCTTGTGCCAGTGTTTGTGTTGGTGCCTGTGCCGGAGCCTGGGTGACACTTCCACGTGATTGTAGAATTGAATGCACATGTGGCTGTTGTGCGTGTAGATGTTGCTGTTGAGATACGTGATGAGAAGAATGACTGCTATGGCTTGAATGAGTAGAACGGATTGATTCTGGCCTTGCCTGAGGGGAAAAAAAATCATGTGTTACTTAAATGAATTTCTGTAAGACCTTTAGGTCCCAATTTTTGATGCAATTAGAAAGAATCTTTAAAAAATAAGCTTAAAAAATACCCTAAACATCATAAAAGTGGTACACGACTTTTATTAGGGTATATGCAGGCATCCTAAAAATTTCAATACCTTTTTAAGACTTTTTAAAGACCTTCTCAGAATATGTTAAGACCTTATTGCCACTTCAAGCTCTAAGTATCAAAATTAAATACTTAATAAACAGTTGTTAATAAACAATTGTAGTTAAATAAATCAATGGAGCACAACCATGCAACAGAACTTACATAAGCTCGAAAGAAACAATGCTTAAAAGAATAAGTAAGGTGATTTTCTTCAGAAACAGGCTACAGCCACTGTTTAAACTCATCTTTCTCCAACCAGGAGTACGCAAACTTACATTTTTAAATTTTGCTGTCTGTTTCGCTCTATTGTTTCACTACATGTCACATCACATTCCTGTGTTTGTCGCAAATTATGTCACATCAGCCAGACGGACGAGCTTGGCTGGCCCCGGCCCGAACCAATCGCGTGGTTTGAGCATGCCGTTGTTATAATTATCCGAAAAAATAAATATATTTATGCTTTTTTGAAGTCAGACACTTTAAACAACGCCTCGTAAAACATGAATAAGACTTTTAAAAACCTTTTAAGGGCCTTAATTTTCTTATAATTGATTGATCAACTTTTAATACTTTTTAAGACCCCGTGGACACCGTGTATACACTAATTTCCAATTTCTCTGAAGTCACATAGAAAGACAGATTGGAATTTAAAATATAAGCAACTTAAAATCCTAGTTCTACTTCGAGCATTTTTAAGATTTCATGACTGAAGTAGTTAATAATCAGTAATAAATCAATCTTCTCAAATGACTGCTAATCTGTTTAAAAATTAAAATAATAATTTTGACAGTGGCTTCGTACCCGACAATAAAAATCATGTGATCTGCCCGGGGTTTAACTCTGTGGTTTTTTATCATTGAAGAACCTGCTCAGATACTCACCTTAGTGCTCTCCTCTATTTGAGTTCCTCTCTTCCAGGCCTCAGAAAAGATTGAACTGACCACACTTTGAGAGCGGGCATGAGAGGACGAAGTACCATCTGACATACCACTGTCTGTCTGGCTGGAGTGGTTTGACTGCGACTCTGAGCACAAACAGAATAAAATCAGCAACATTTACATCTAGTGATGTAACCTGGTTCAGTAAAATAATTATCATTATGCCATGAAACAGAAATGCTCCAATAGTGCCAATGATATTTCTGTAGATTTAGGTTGAAAATGACTTGCCCATAATCAGGGATTCAAGTAACTCACCAGGTATACTGACTGAGCTTGTTCCTGACTTGATGCTGGTGCTGGAGAGAGAAGACCAGTCATAGGCAGCCTCTGTTCGCTTCATAGCTTCCTGGTAGTTCACATACAACTGCTTCCCGTACTGCGCATAAAATGAAATGATCAAGTTATCCTTCAAATACGCAAGAAAATTGCTTTTTAAATTAAGCACAAATAGTTTGTTGAGTGCATAGGCTTCATTTACTGGGTTACAAACTATGGACAAGACAAGTGATTACCTTAGCAATACGGATGCCATTTACCCACTGGTGTAAAGTTCTGACATCATCACAGCATAGATATTTGATGTACTGTGACTTTTTCTGGATCTGAGGGTGCTGTGGGCAAAATTAACAAGGTCACCAAGATAACATTGGATTTGAAAGGAAATGGTTTTGTTGTACTTGTGAACCACTAGAGGGCAGCAACAATCATTTACACATTGCGCAAAAGCGCACAGCCATCTGTGATGCATCACATGCAAGCTGTTAACACAGTCAGCCAACCTATTTTTAAATGTAGGCAAAATACACTTATATATAATATAGTCACAGATGCAGATTCATACAAATGTAAGATTCCACAACGCCAACATTCATTTTCTGGATATTACACATGTATTTTTAAAATGTTTGAATAGAAAAACTAATAAAAGCAAAATGGTTTTGATGTACAGGGCCTTTTTTTATGCTGTTCTGTATCAAAGTAATAAGATAAAAAATAACTGACTTTTTAAAAGGCACAGTATTGTATGATCCAGTTTTTGGAGTAGATGCATTTAAACAGGCTTAATATGATAGTTTCAACCCCAAATTAAAATAAAGAAGATATGAAAAGTTTAGATGCAAAAGTCCATCAGACATTTTTGTTTCGGAAATTAGCATTTTCTATCAGGCTTTGATAATTAGCTTCAGAAGTTTAATTTTATAGACAATGAAAAGGTTATTAGCTAGTCCATAACCGTTATGAAACGTTATGAATGCATGCTAACCTTCTGACTGTTTAGTGTGTTTTCCTTTTCCTTTTCCTAAAGTGCTTACACATTAGCACTTTTGGTCCACATCCAAGTTCGACGTCAGAGTTCGGTACGTTTAGCTAGAGTGAACTTGGGTGTGCACCCACGAACCAAACCCAAGTCCGCCTGAAAGAGGTGGTATGGAGTACGGTTCATGCAAACTCTGATCCGATTCACTTCTGGTGTGAATGCAATCGTACCAGATAATGGAAGTGAACCACCAACAGTACAACAGGCATCAGCCGGACACACAACAGCAGCTCAATGACACAAGCGTTCCAGGGTTAAATAGGAAAAAACACAGTTTGAACACAAACCATCCGAGAACGTGGCAAGGGGGGACAAACGAACTTGGGTACGGTCCAGGCAAGTGTGTAAGCACTCTTAAAATGCCCAGAGTTTTGAGGTAAAGGACGTTTTCATTTGCCATTTACTGACAGTCAGAAAGGCTCATTCAATTAATCAAACGTCTTTTAAAATCTAAATCGTAATGGGAAAAAAACGGTCTCCTCATAAAAGCCAGCGTTATCAGCGCTCTGCTACACTGAAAACATATGATTCGATTCGCACCTTCTGATTTGGGGAGATAGTGGCTTTTGCTGTCAAAGGCAAGTGGCGTTTAGAGGCTTTTGCCAACAAACTGTTATTTCTGAATGGGCTGACGCTGGGATTTAGATGACCTGAAGCAAAGATATTTACATGTACTACGTGCTTAAATCATTCGCTCAATATCATTTGCTCATTTTTGGCGGAAGTGGCTTTTAGCGTCTTTTGCATCTCAACTTTTCATATTTTGAAACTGGTAGCCATTTCAAAAGTTTATGTTTTATATCAATTTTTTCTAATAGTCTGTAAAGGATTTTCAGGATAAATAAAGAAGGCACTTGAGGGTGATTAAATGGTGAGCAATTTTTGGGTGAACTATCTCTTTAACTGGCCTTATCGTCACACATACCTTGAGGGCCAGGCAGTAGTCAGTGGGGGCCTTGTACTTGCTTCTGTAGTCCTGACCATAATACACGTTAACATGGTCCAACTGCAGGAAGCACACCAAATCCCTGGAAGCCTACAGAAATCAAAATAAATAGATAAAAAATGTTTGACCTTGTCTTTAACCAATGTTTTCAATGAATTACACAATGTTAATTTAGATAGTAAATTCCACATAGCATATACTAACTATAGAAACTTCAAATGATAATAGCAAACAGGTAGAAATATAAGACTATATAGCACAGAAGAATTACATATTCAGGATCAAACCACAAGAAGGTATCACAGAATCTGTGCTCAAGTATATAAAAAAAACTAAATAAACTGTGGGGCGACACGGTAACTCTGGTTTGAGTCCCGGCTGGGTCAGATGGCATTTCTGTGTGGAATTTGCATGTTCTCCCTGTGTTTGTGTGTGTTTCCTCCAGGTGCAATTAAACAATCAAGTTGTTTTTAAAGTTATTTTTATTATTATCTTTTTAAAATTATTTGACTTCGAGTTGTATAAGAAACAGTGCATGCGGTCTCTCTGGGAATTAAAGCCACATGATTTGTTATGAGGGAATGGCAAACATCATATGGTTTGTGTAGAGTGTCCTCAGTGAATTGATAAACAGGAAATTCCATTAGGCTCTGTGTCTGTTTAATGAGAACATGACACAAAATCATACGAGGAACCAAAAATAAACACACAACAACACTCACCTTGGCTTTGCCTTTTGGCACAAAATAGATGCCAGATGCCCTTAGCAGAAAGTAGCGCTTCTTCCAAGACTTTTTACCATCTTCCTTCAACCACAACACTCCTTCGATTTCAGGAACTGACACCGAGCTGCCACAAAAACATTCCTAAAGACAAGCAAATACAAAAAAGCAACATTGTTATTAGGGCTGCACAATATACCACTTCAGCATGGACATCGCAATGAGTGAAATCAGCAATAGTGACAAAAGTTTAACAAGAAGTTTGTACTGTAAGCCAAACTATAATAGTTTGTGATATTTTACAAGCTTTTTTGAGTGAATTTCAAGCGTTTTAACACAAGAAATTAAAACATGCAATAGCAGCAGCGTTTATTTTAATTATTCAAATTCTGTTCCTGAATACTGAAGATTCCCCAGAAAACCATAAAGCACTGTTCATTTAATTTGTGTCTTTGCTTTGTTGTATTTATCTATGCTCTACAAAATCATCCAAATCAATCGAAAATTCTGAATACTTTCTAAATGCACCTACTCCAGTCATCTGGTAAACAAAATAATATGCAGATAATGCAGAAACAAAATAATCTCAATGTCAGTTTTTAATCACAAGTATACTGTCAAATAGTTTCTAAACACTTTATCTTGATACAAGTCAAGCAAACTCTGTCAGTCATCACAATTATCATTTCTATATAAACATCACATGAATAAAGTATTTCCCCACCCTCACTAAACATCTATATGCATTGTGCATTATTGCAAATATACACGCAAGTAAAAGTAATATAAAAGTATTTTACCAAGCAACTGCATTAGACTTGAAATGAACTTAAATCTTTAGCTATAAAGCAGGGGTTCTGAAATTCAGTCCTGGAGGGCCCGTGTCCTGCAAAGCTTGGTTCTAACCCCAATCCGCGCTAGCTAATCAAGCTCTTACTAGAAACATCCTTGCAGGTGTGTTGAGTATAGTTGGAGCAAAAATCTGCAGCACACTGGCCCTCCAGGACTGAGTTTAAGAACACCTGCTATGAAGTAATACCATTTTAGTTTAAGCAAAGTTGGCTAAAGAGAAGTTAGGCTAGTTAGTCTTCAGTATTTTTCTGTTTAATGTGCCTTTCAAGTTTTACTTGAAATTCAATGTGCTCTAATTGTAGCATTGTCATAGTACTATGATTTGACAATATAATTAGTTTTATAACATGCTTTACCTCTAGCAGTGCCTCCTTGTTTCTGTCTGCCATCTCAGAAGTCTCCTTCCTCCCAAGTAAATAGTTCTTAGAAGCACACAAACAACAGGTAACAAGTGAGTCAGTGCGACAAAATATAAACTGCTTTACACACCAAGAATCATAAACTTATGACTAACATTAAGCTAAACTTAGGTGTCAAGAATGGTTACATTTACACTAAGGTCGCTATTTTACAGATCTAGGCGCAAAGTCTAAAGAACACAACGCAAAAGCAATAAGGACATGTCTGAATCCCCTTTTGCAATTTTAACGGCAGAAAAATATGGTTTACGCCGTGTCGCTTGGTCTAACAGGGTGGAGTTTGTTCTCCTGAAGGGTTACGGGTGTGTTTTGAAAATATCATCTTCCATTCCCTTTAAGAGTCAGTTGTGTCACGCCAAGGCACATTTGCTATTTACATGTAGCAATTGTAAGTTGAAAAACTGAACACTTCACTAGCGAGAAAACAGTTAAACAGACCATCTGCAGCAAGGATAAAAAACATGCCTCCTCCACAGAACTGCATTAACCTACGCATTTAATTTTGTTTGTTAAGCGTGAAGATTTATTTCAAAACTCTTTCTTAAATCAGTTCTAATTTCCAGCCAACGAATAAATGAACAATAACAATGAAGTGTGGTCAGTTTATAACAATGAAGTGTGGTTATATCCAAACACATGTCCTATGCCCCATATGATCCAAAACCTGACAGTTGGACAAATCTAAGCTTGTTTTTATTAAAACAAATATAAATATGCATATAATAAATAATACTGCAAATAATAACATTATACAAAAGCAAATTGTCATGAATAAACTGAAAAAAGAAGGCATGGAGGTTTTTACATTTATGTAAAAAAAATTTAATATTTTATTCCTTTAATTCTTTTTCATTTGTAAAGATATTTGCGTATTGCTGTACATCATGTGTTGTATTAAGAAATGTGTATGCGTTTAAAGCACACAAATAACGCGCTCTGCACTGGACTTTAGACCTGCTTTTAATGGGTCAATAGTGCCCATCAGGCATTGCCGAACTGCATTGTGGATGAATCGGCACCACTCCAGTGGCGTTGCTTGCTGCAGAAGTTGGGACTTTCTCAACTTTTTAAGCGGCGACGGAAGCATCAGCCAATCAGATCGTTGTATGCAAATACACCAGCTCAGAGAGTAGACGATTACAGACTAATTTTATTGGCTGATGCTGCTATGACGATTATATCACCCCTGACTTCAGACACACCCTCTGTCAAGTGTTGACGCTGAAGCCCTGTGTTAGTGGGACATTATTGCACCAGGTGTATGATAGGGCCCTAGAGGTTACACTGTGAAAAAATTCTTGTTTAATTCCTTTATGTTGTCCCAACACAAATCGACTGTTTGGAACCCAGCTTCTGTTTACAGTGAATCAAACTGACTAAAAATATTAACTTTGTGTAACATAAAATAGAAACAAGATTAATATTAGTTAAAGTAACACTGTCATAACTTTTTGACAGTGTAGGTTTGGTAAAATTTTTAGGAAGTTTTACATATGAAAAAATAAATGGTTTCCATTTTAATAAATATGAAATAGTAATTTATTTTTGCGATGACAAAGATGAATTTAAAGAAACCATTACTCCAGGTTTCAGTGAGAAATTATGCTCCTGAAAACATTATAAAATGGTGATAAGACAGATCACAATATACTAATTTCCATATTGCAAATGACCATTTTGATCCTTTGAAGAAAGAAAAGCTAAAAAATGTATTTGAAAATTTTAAATCAACATTTTATAAATGTATTTTACTGTTGATTCTGATCAAATGGATGCCTCCTTGTTTAAAAGAAAACGAGCAACTTAAAAAAAAAAGTATTGTTTTTTAGAAATGTCTAAATGTGTTTATTTTATTTGCACATTATTAGCAGTAGTAACCTACATTTCTTTCTGTGAATCCCTCATGTGAACTGATCATTTAGAAATTTTGAATTCCAAATGGAATATATTTTGGAAGATATTTTGTAAATAATAAAAAAAGAGCTTCACCTGAGGGTTTTTGAAAAGTGCATACTTTTCAATCCGTTCAATGAACATGAGTTTGTTCTGACTGTCTCTGGTCCAGTTGAGCAAGTTCTCTACAAGGTTCTCGTGATCTTCAAAAATTCTCTCTGGGAGAAAGAGGGGATGAATGAACAATAAGGAGATTTTCATTTTGTCCTTGATATAGACAGATGGTGCATGTGCAAGTGTCCTCACCCATCTGTAGCTCAGGGATGGTCTCCACCAGAGCCCAATCAGGACTGTAACCGCAGTGAGATTTATCCAGCAGACTGTCCAGCAACTGCCTGACCGTTTGCCTCTCATCCACCATCATGGTCTTTGAGCTCTCATCTGACATGTGTACACGTATCACCAGCTTTTGAAAAACATTCAAGAAAAAGCCAGTTTGGTTCATTTCATTGTATTTGATACTGACTTTCTAATCACATATACAGCTTTATTTTCACACAATCACACACTCATGATACTTTAGAAAATGTACCGTAGACTGAGTCGATCGCTTAGACACACTTGACTAAATTTATGCCTGTAATGAGCTTAAAAACCTTCCTATCTCAAAATTTAGGTGAAAACATTTGACATAAGTGGTCTAAATCAATAAACTTTATTCCTGTGTTTAAATTCGTCTACAAAAAATGCTTAATCCTTGTGTATTGTTCAAATTGATTGTTCGTGGCTGTCAATTTAAAAAAAAAAAAATCTAAAATTAATCATGGGTCAATTAACCTAATCTAACATAAACAGAAATTCCATTACAATGACATTTTTTGATCGCAAAGCCTTGAAACCATATAATCATGCATTTTTGATAGTGGGTGGCTTTCTCTGTTGGGTAGAGGTACAATTTGTCCATTTTACTTCATCAGCTGGCATCATTAACCCTTTAGATTGAGAAAACAGTTTATGGCTTTTATATGGAGTTCTGTGAAGTATAACAGCAAATTATAGCGTGTGTTTATTTTTGCACTGCAACTGACAATCAACATGAAAAAATAACAAATTGTACCTCTTCCCAATGGAGAAAAACATCAATAATTGTAATGGTGTCTTGGCATTGCAATAAAAAATGCCATTCTAATGGAAGTCAATGGGGCACAACAGCCATGAAGACAATGAAAAGGTAGAAAACTTGAGTTTTTGTCAAAATAATATTTGGCACCGAAAACCATTACATTTGCTGAAACAGAGAAAGTCGTGGCCAAATTAAGTCTCAAAAATGACAACAGAGTGAATGGAAATATTCCCAACAGCACATACATGTTAAAAACTCTTTTATAGGCTTTTAAAACAATTGAACTGCATCTCACGCATGTTGAAAAAAATGTTTTTATTCAAACATTTCTGAAGTGAATACCTGCCAACCAACAAAATGTTATTTCAATCAACTACCTAATCAATTTGGCAGCTTCTGATTTGTAACTTAAGTTTAGTAGGATGTAAAAAAATGACATTTAAAAAATTGTGGGCTATTATTTGACCTGATTTTCGGTATTATTTACATTCCAAGTCAATGGAAAACACACCTCAATACATTAATTACAAATGGCTGACCTCTTTTGATTGGACAGGTAGTTTGCTTATCTTCAACATGTTCACCATGAAACATTGATGTGAGCCATATAGTTCATAAAAGAGTTCAAAAAGAAATAAACCTTGAATATTTTTAGAGAAGATTCAGTTTACAGCAATACTCTTTTATTTTTCACAATTATAATAAATGTCTCTAATCATTTATTTCTGATCTTTTTCAACTTTAGTTATAGCACCTTACCACAACCAAAGTGCTGCCCAAAGTGCTTCAAAACAATGTACAACATGTAATTTGTGGTACATAATGATCATTTGATTTCCCTATTTTCTGTGCTCAAATAATAATGTCTAAATAGTACAGCTTGTTAAACCCTCCTCCAGGGTTAAACACAGAACCCAAAAACATCCCAGAGATCAAACATTAAAATGTAATTAAATAAACAATTGAACTAGTTGGAAAAACCCTATAAAGTGATCAGCATAATTGAGTACAGCCCATTTTGAAAATTAATATTTTTATTAATTTCTCATTGAATATAGGCAATGTATTTTAGTGCATTTAAACAAAACAGATTTATCAAACAGATATATTCATTTATTCATAATTTTCTTTTTGCTTAGTCCCTTTATAAAAGCGTGGTCACCAAAGTGTAATGAACAGCCAATTTATCCAGCATATGTTCTACACAGCGGATGCCCTTCCAGCCGCAATCCATCTCTTGGAAACATCCATACACACTCATTCACACTCATACACTACAGACAATTTAGCCTACCCAATTCACCTGTATGTCATTGGACTGTGGGGGAAACCAGAGCACCCGGAGGAAACCCACACAAACGCAGGAAGAACATGCAAACTCCACACAGAAAAGGCAACCGACCCAGCCGAGGCTCGAACCAGCGACCTTCTTGATGTGAGGCTAGAGCACTACCTACTGCACCACTGCATCGCCGATGTATTTATTAAAATAATATTTTACTCACCAATCATTTTTACAACCTACAAAATTTCAACTAAATTGTACTTTTTTTTGCTTCTCTTGATTTTTCCTCTTTTTAAATAATTTTTTTTATTGTATTTAATATTTTTCTAACATATAAATTTGGCTGTACTAGTTTTTGGAGCGTTATCGTAAGTTATGTTGTTAGATAAGCTCCAGATTTGACTTCAGTACTGACTAATCTAATGTATATGCACAAATATAATATTGTATAGCTTCCTATTAAAAATTTTAAAGATAGATTTGTGAGGGGTGTACTTATATATGCTGAGCACTGTAAAAACTGTACAGATATGAGTAATTAGTATAGTATGTTAATGTACAATCATGTAGTTCAAATCAGAATGTTGATGCTCGTAGATTAATTGTATTGAACCGGAATATGATGTGGATGTTCAGAAACCTGGCTTTAATAGAGACTAACTGGAAACAGGAGTGAAATCTGGCTTTCATCCCCCTCTATTTTACACCCTGTTTTCTTTCTTCTCGAGAGTGAGGAATCAAAAAGAGGGAGAGAAAGTGTTGCATAGGCACATTAACAGACAGCCCTGCCAGGGTTCTGAAAGTCATAACGATACAAGGGAGCATGTGGCGCTTTTCCAAAACTAGTCTCAGCAGAAATAGTCTACTAATTGCTAATGCTCACTTCTCTCTCACAACCTCATATATCTACTCAAAAAAAAAAAAAAAAAACCCACACATACGAGATCTGACATATCTGGCTATTGAGGCCCAATCACTGTACTGTGTCTAATTCATTCACTTGGTATTAGTATGTGCCTGGTAGCATTTGTTTTGACAGCTCTTTTCCATTGAATGGTGCGACAGGACAGATCATCTCTCGTGTCTAAATGAAAACCTCAGACCTGTTTGCATGACAATAAAATCACCCACACAAAAAATAAATATATCCAATTCAACAAGTAATTTGAAGCAAAACCTTTACCTATGGTTATGCACGTCTTGTTTGTGCATCCTCCATTCTAAGCAGACAGAGACTCACAGACACATGGGTGACCTATTTTCTTCTGTGCATTCATTCTGTGACTAAAGGGCTGCATCATGCAGTACTAAGAGAAGATTTACTGAATCCAGGGGGATTCACAGTGGTCTGGACTCACCTTTTTCACTTGGGCTTCTTTAATTTTCTCTAGAGCCACACGTATTTTCTCAGCCTTCGCTTTGGCAGCCTGCTCTTCCTGTGGATGACATGGTGACATGTTAACAAAGAAACACTTGCATAGCATTATCTCGACAAATGCAAGTTCAAACAGCCTGTTAGCTTCATCTATTACTAGAGGCATGAAATCAGACAGGTGGACTCTTTGGGCTCTCTCACTTACCTGCCCCCTCCAGCATGCAGTCATCACATCCATTATGACCCCTCAAAAAACAATCCCTTAACCTCTGCAAAGCCTGATCAACTGGCAACCAGAGCCACAGTTACGAAATCACTCCTGAACCACTACTCATGTCAACAGCTCCTTAGAGAAATGGCTGCTCATTCAATCACTACAGATTCACAGCAGCAGCAGCTGGAATGTTTCAGAACTCCATTCTCATCCCAAACAGCAGATTTCACAAGACCGTTTTTCAAGGCCTGACAGGTACTTCCAGCAGAAGTTTCAGAGCTGCTGCAGGAATGGCCTCTGAAACTGGAAGAAAATCATTCAAGTAATCCGAAAAACTCATCTGCCGCAGCTCAAACTGAGGGAACGTGAAGGCGAAACATGCACTGATGCACTGAGCGCGCTTCCCCTCACGTATCTTTACACCCAGAGTATCTTACACATAAGTCTACTCCTCGACATTGGGAGGGGATTGAGACCTCCCCCTCTCTTTGACTGTGTCTCTCGCTCTCTGTGAAACAGCTGCATGTCTCTGCTAGCGTGTCCAATAGCAGGGTTTAATCCCCCTCGCCAGCAGAACAACTAGAAAAGACCCTCTCGTACCTTTTCTCCAATCGGAACGTAAATACACTTCACAGCAACCAATCAATGAGGTTGATTTCCTTGACCTTCTTTTCACCAGCCAATCAAGTTGAAGTCAAAAGCGGATGATATTGTTCTTTGTGATTGTGGGGAAATACCCTTGCTTTATTGGGGGTACCACGGGGGTGAAGAATATCTAGGCCTTGCATTTATTATTTCAGTTATATCGGAGTGGGTGATTGTAAGGACAAGTACCTTAAGTCAGGATGAAGTAATCTTTTTCAACATTTATTTAAAAAGATGACAAATTAAGGATTATAAAGTCTGAAAAATGGGTAAAAAAAAGTAAGGTATAGATTATATGAGGAGAGTTTCTCTCTCTCTCTCTTGAATCATTGTCTGAAAAAGATGCATATGAGTGATGCAGAGATGGAGAACAGGAGCAAGAATGGGTGAGTCCTGCAAACAGCCGAGGCAGAGCCTCCGATAAAAAGCATTCAGTTCCCTTTGAAGTCTTTTTTCCCCTTTCTCTGGATCTCTCTCTGTCTGTGTTTGAGCACATAGTCTGTGTTTCAACAGTCTGCAGTGAATACATCCAGACATTGCTTGAGATGTCTGATGAAACCATGAGGAAATCAGAGTGGGATTTCAAGAAGATCTCTGCCTTAATTTGTGTAAATATAATGCCTTTGTCTAATGCCATGCCAAAATAAATCAAACTTAATAATAAAAATAAACCCTAACTAAAAAAACATTCAATCGATTAAAAAATCCCATTTAAACAAAAATAATCAAGAATGTAAGCTTTAGGACAAAACAAAACAAAACAAAAACAAAGGCGGAGTTATGGTGTGAAATAAAGAAATAACAAATGTTCTCCACTTTTTTTTTTGGCACTAAAAAAAATTTCTCAAATGTCAATTAAAAAATCTCAAATCACGTTCGAATAACATCACATTTGGCACAAACTTGTGATTTTTAGGTGCAATCTCTCAGTAAAACAAAGCATAAATGTACATAAACATAACAGCTCACTGTATGAAAACATAGCGCTGTTATGCAGTACAATGAGTTAGAGAAAAAAAAACTGTTTCAATTGGACTGTAGCACAAGCTCCAAGGTTTAACAAAAGCTCACACATCCTTGAAAAATCAAAGTGGCATCAGATTTAGATGCTTATTATTTAGTGTCTCGACAAGACAAAGCACCCTTTCCCACAATTCCCAGCACCTGCAAATGTGCCGACTTTTGTATGATAACATGGGAAGTAAAACCACATGCATAATAATAGCTATTATTAGGAATAGATTAAAAGCACAAAGTTATTCAACAAAGAGCCTTTATATTAAAGTATATTGCGAAACTAACAATCCTGTGTAGCTGCATGGCCCACTTTTAAAAACTAATTTACCAATAAATGGTGAATTTTGTTATCATTTACAACCCCGTCACAATCCAAACTTAACTGACCATAATAGAAAATATCCTGACAAATATTTCAGTGGTGGTTTTCTTAGTAACCTAATTAACAATATTCTTTCATGTGTTACAAAAGCAGCATGGATATAAAACATTTCATGTTAGGGAACAATCTCTAGAAAATAGTTTGGCTTATCACAAAGAAACTCAAACTATCTATGACTTAATATTTATTACGTTTAGAGCAGAGAGCCTTGAGTGTTCAAGGAAGATAAATTGTGAGTTTACCTCTTACAGTTTTCTCACATGCCATAAACTATAGCAAGAAATAAAGTCAGAAAATATATTAAGTCATAGATAGTCTGATGTTCTTTGTGATAAGCCAAATTATTTTCTAAAGATTGTTCTCAAACATGAAAATGTTTTATACCCATGCTCCTTTCGTAACATATGAAAGAATATTGGTAACCAAACTAATTAGGTTACTAAGAAAACCATCACTGAAATATTTCTCTAAATAATTTCTATTATGATCAGTTAAGTTTGGATTGTTATAAGGTTGTAAATGATAACGAAATTCACAATATATTGATGAATTCTTTTTACTAATGGGTTATGCAGCTACACAGAATTGTTCGTTTTGAAATAAACATCAATCTAAAGGAGAAAAGTTACCTACTTTTTTTTTAAGTACTAGTTTTAGTACTGCTGTATAAATCAAACCAATAAAAAAATTATGAGCAGCCATTTTTTTAAGGAAACAGTGACACAATGTAGCTGGCAAACCTGGATTCTTTAGAAATCTGTTCTTTATATGGAAATCACTTACTTTTCTATGACACACATTTAAAAAACAATTGCAAAAAACTGTCACACTTTAAAAAAACCTTCTAAATGTACAGTTCATAAATGATAACAACTGATCGTTAAAAGCAAGAAAACTGGATCTAAAACCACATTTTTCCCAAAGGCCCACTAGGCTGAAAGCATCAAAAATGACAAAAGATTGCAGCCAAGAGAGAAAATAAAGAATGAGCTACAAATCCATTAAAAAAATGTAAGAAGGCGTTGTTGGTGGAGCAAAGTGTCATGTCTGGCAAGTAGAGGTTAAAAGGCTTTCAGTGGAGACATAAACCAATTGCATGCAGAAAAAAACCACAAAGCAGCAAGCGAAAGGAAAGGAGGTGTCACCTTGGTCAGCAGGTGAGAGGGTTTTCCTGCAATGTTTTTCAGAATCAGAGAGGTCTCTCTGTCCAGATACGAGTGCTTAAAGGTGCAGGGAAAAGACAAACAGATTAATCAGTGCAATGATTACTGTGATTTCAAAAATGATAGAAACGCAAACTTGATTGTGGTGAAGCTTAGAAAGTGTGGAAGCATTGTTTGAGCATTGATTTTTTTCTTAATTAGAAAAAGATGGCATTTTATAGTTTAGATGGAGAACATAAATACGAGAACTGTTTAACACACTTATGTAATTCCTCAATAAAATCCTGTTCTCTTTCAAAACCCCTTATACATCAAGCGCTGAGATTGGATCTCTCTTGATATACTGTCATTTTCCAAAATGATGGTGTTTTGAAACCTGGAATTATCAGTATTGTGAGAATAAACACAACGTGTACACATGTTTTTTATCCCTTGCACACACACACACACACACATATACACACTTACAGTACTTTGATCCACCTCCCCCTCCTGTGAGGTAAAGTCAAGATGCCGTCTGGTAGTTTTACCATTGGCTCTGCGCAGTAACACATGCTGACATCACATACAGAAAAGGTGCAAACAGAAATGTTAATCATGCAAGAAAACAAAGCAAACGAGGCATGCACAAGCAAGGGTCAATACATGTCACTCTTATAAAACATTCCAGGGTGAACACTTTTTAAGCTTAGGTCACAGTTAACACTAATACTACTGATTTATTACCAGCCTGTTAGTAAGATATTAACTGTTCCTTAGTAGTTATAAAGCATGATCTTATTCTACATCCCTAATCCTACCCAAAACCTAAACGCAACTTCTACCTTAAAATCTATGAATAAACAGCTTATTAATAGTTTAAGCTCATAGGGTTAGTTAATGGTTTGTTATTACCGCAAATTGTGACCTAAACTAAAGTGCTACCATTTACAGTAATGAACATACAATGGAAGTATATGTAATACATAAGTTGTGTTTTTTTATTCAATAATGACATTTCTTTCAGATTTTACGGTAACACTTATTTACAATAAGGTTGTAATACTTAGTGTTAATTAATGTATTTACTTACATGAACAAACAATGAACAATACAGTAATTATGGCATTTAATAAAGATTTTTAATGTTAGTTATTGAAAATAGAGTTGTTCATAACTTCATGTTGACTCATGGTGCTGATGTTAATAAACATGAATTTGGATTTTAATAATAAATTAGTAAATGCTGAACTGTGAATAAGTTTTGTACAAATGTTCATTATTAGTTCAAGTTAATAAGCACATTAATGTGTGACCGATTTTAGTTAATCTTTTATTTGTAAAACTCACCTTGATATATATTTTAATATTTTAAACTTTTGAAAGTCCATGTAAAAATGTCAGAGCTTATAAAGAAAATGTAGTTCATTTGATTTAAGTGATTAATTTAAGATAAACATTTAACTAATAGTTTATTCCTTTATAAAAAAAAATTAAACACAAAGCTTATCAGAAAGCTAAGCTCAACTGTACTTCCAAAAAAACAAGCAAAAGAACGAAGACAAATGCAAATGCAATTTTTAAACAAATTTGAATTGTTTTCTAAAATAAGAATGAAGGACTGTCCATTTAATAGGCTGTATTAGCTGATCTCATTTCAAAATGGCCCTTTTAAAACTGTAGTTATGCATTACCAGTGCAAATCCTGTAGGTGTAAGCGAGTTTGCTCGACGTAAACAATACTTTGCTGATAGTTGCATCATGTCCCTACTCTAGTATCCTTGCACATTAGGTGAGAAAGTTTATTGGCATTACGGTGTGTGCTCATGACTTGCACGCACGAGGTTTGAAAGAAATTTCATCACATAATTCTTGGACGTTTAGCACGTATACCAAGTCCCTTTTTTTTGGCTACACTTTGGAAATAGCGTGTAGTAGACATTTACTGTGGTGCACTGTTTTGCCAGATATAATTCCATTGTCAGATCTTTACTGTAAACATACTTTTGTCTGATTTGACTTTTTTTAGAGGATATGTTACATAAAAATGTAATTTTATTGAACCTGATCTTCCCATTTAACAGTTGTTATATTTGCTTCATTATTCAATACCACAGGTTTTCAACCTTCAAGTTGCAATCACAAAGGAATTTCAGTGAAATTTAGCATACAAGCCATTAGCTATTGTCAAAAAATATGCGTGTATAAACTTATTTATTTAAGCTGGTCAGCATTGCAAATTTTCATGACCAACTAGACCACAAGCAAAATTCATGTGGCAAATTTTTTCTCTCTTATACAAAACTCCCGTTTATGTAGATTCCACAACTACTGGATTTTGACGAAAATATTTTGTAGGAAACAGTAAATGTGACTGCACCTTTACAGGACAATGACTCTCTACTCTCGTTGATAAATAATTTTTTTTATCTTATAGATACACTAGGTGTAAAGTATCTATAAGATAAAAACTTATCAATATCATTTTCAAATGTTCATTACATAACTCTTAGAGAATGTGCGGGTTTTAATATTTCTACACGAGACTCTGGTTGAAAACCCTCATTTCATAAATAGAAAACATTATGCAATAGATTATATTTGTTGCACATCAAGACCTTTTCTTATTGTAAAAATAAAGTACAACAAAACACATGCATTTAAATGAGTTAGATTAGCCATGTAGCATAGTCACACACTAATGTTTACAGTGACCATGTAAAGCACAAAGTCTGTGTCTTTACATGTCATGTAAAACTGTCATGCAGCAAGATTCGTGCACTTATTATCTCTCACACACAAACATGAAATGCTATCAGACTGTTTAAATGAGTTAGCTTAGCCATGTAGCATAGTCAGACGCTAATGTTTACAGTGACCATGTAAAGCACAAAGTCTGTGTCTCTACATGTCATGCAGCAGGATTCGTGTACTCATTCTCTTTCACATACACAAAGATGAACTGGTATCACACTGTAAAAACAGCAGCGCTAGTTTACGTCTGAATCCACAGCATGTATTTTTAGCCGAGTGGAGTGTGAGAATCTGTACATCTTGGTGCGGATGAGCAATGCTGTGTTTAGAAGAGTGGCGTAATAGCATCTTTTAGTTTTATTGGATTGTCTTCCTAGGTTCTGACATTGGTACTTAAGAACTATTAAAGCGAAGTGTGCGTGCTTGTCAGAAATTGGTTATATATGCACATGAGTGTGAGAAATATGTGGATTGCCAAGAGATGACTCAGCTATAATGATTCCATGATGAATTCAGTGAAACCCCAATCATCACATTTCCCAAAACCACAATGCAGACTTTGCCCTCAACAAAAGAACAAACAACTACTATGAATAGAACTGTATGTGTCTGGGTCAGAGGGAATGTTCACTGTCCAAGTAAAGAGACCCTGTTTGTTCTAAATTGTTTAGTGAATAACAGGATAAACATATGACATTTCAATGACTCTTTGTTTTTTGGTAGCAATTACACTAAGGGTAAGACATTAATTCAAAACAGAATTATGACTAAGCCTAGTTTTTCTCCTATCTGAAGACACGCAGATGGGAAAATCATTTTCAATTTAGAAAATTGTTCCTTTTAACACCCACATATATACACATTTACAGACTAAAAATAAACAACTCTTATTATGTGTTATTGTAAAGAAAACTTTAGTCTTTCTACTAAAAATGCTCTATTTTTCTACAGATGTTTATGTTTTGAACATATTAAGCGGTTCTTTTTTGCTTTAAGAAATAGATATAATTATATAAATATGATCTTTATTATAAATTTCTTAGAAATGAGTTGTATCGTTGTTTTGACTTTGCACCTCAAAAAATATCAAAATACATTTGAGATTGAACATTTGCTTAAACTAAAGAGGTGTACTCAAGTCACTACACTTTAAGTGTAAAATTTTATAAATTTCTATTAAAAGTGAATTCAGTTTTTTGACTACTTTAAAGGGACAGTTCACCCAAAAATGAAACTGCCTTATTATCATTTACTCTTCCTCATGTGGTTTAAACCTTTATGAGTTTCTTTTATATGTTCAAATATGTACTCAAATAAAGATATCTGAAAAATACTGGTTTCCAGGACTTATCGACTTCCATTGTAGGAAACAAAATACTATGAAATTCAATGGGTCCCAGCAACCAGCATTTTTCAAAATATCAGATTTTGTGTTTAACAGAAAAAATATATTCAAATAGGTTTTGAACAAGTGAAGGGTAAGTAAATGCAGACAGAATTTAAATTTTGGAGTGAACTATGCCTTAAGTACTAATATTAAAAAAGTTGATGCATATCATAACATTCCTCTGTAAAGAGGTTATCAAATGATAATGAAATGTCTTTTCATCTTCCAACATAACTGTTTGATGATTTATTTAAAGTAGTTCACTCAAAAATGAAGGTTTACTCACCCTCAGGTGGTTCCAAGCCTTTGAGTTTTTTTTTTTCTGCTAAAGATATTTAGATATCAGTAACCACTGACCTCCACATTCGGTTAAACAAATGCTATGGAAATGAATGGTCACTGGTTTCCAGCTTTCTTTATGATATCTTCTTTTAAGTTCAGCAAAAGAAAAAACTTAAAACTGGTTTGTGTCAAGTAAAATAGGAGTAAATGGTAGCATTTCAGGTTTGGGTAAACTATTCCTTTAATATTAACTTCTTGGGATTTACTAAACAGGACAAATCAGCACAATCCCATAAACAGCACTGATGGTAGTGAAAGGTTCTGGAGTTGATTTACTGACAATGCGCAAAATAAAGAACACCGTTGCAGCAGCTCATTTCTATAATGACCAATGCAATCAACCAAAGAGCAGTGGAAAATAAAATAAAAATAATGTTGCTTGGCAATCGATATGTTGGGGTAACACCATCTTCTGGCATTTCAAATAAATGTAGAAAAAACTATAGAACACCATGTGCTCTCTGTTCTCTGAATTTCTTCTTCTAGCAGCAACTATCGCAGCATTTCAATCTAAAAACTGGTTAATATATAGTCCCCTTAAAAAGTTGGAATTATACGGTTCTATCTGCATTCTGAATGATTTTGAGATATTGAGCTTTAAAGTTTTTGTATTCAATAATAAACAGTATGTGTGTAACATTTATTTTTAAATAAAAAGTCTTAAAATTTAAACAACTTATAAAAAACATCCCATAAAGTAAATAAGTTGTCATTAAATAAGAATATATGAATAACTCAATTTTGACAAAAATGTCAGATAGAATTTTATAATTCTAAGGTGGAGATATGCTATCTGGATGTTAAATATTAACAAAGACTACTAATCACATTGTGTGGTTTGTTTAAATAATTAAATTAATGTTCTGCTATTTGGCATCTGAAAGGAAAAATTCAACAAATGCCTATGCAAATTCCTTGACTATTACACCAGAATGAGAACATGTTCCTAGACCTATTACCCCAGAAAATAGCAACTTTTCTGCCAGTCTTAGAACATGATGTTACTACAAAACAGTTTCATGTCAAGCTAAGCTAAGCTGAACATGCCCTTACCAAACCTAGAGATCCACTGATTTTGATTCCACCTGTTGTAGAGATTAACCTCATTCATCAGTAAAGAAACACAGCCTGATTTAAACATTTATCTCTATGGTGACAGCAAATGTCCCTCTGTCCTTTTCTTTTGCAGATACTTATTTTCTAGTTTTGTGCTTCATATTTAAGCCCTTACATCTGCTTTCCGTTTTCCCTGTGTTGTCTTACTCTTCAGAAACCCAGCTGATATTTCTCTCCCAGTTTCTCACAGTGGAAAAAAAGCGGCATCAACTATGAAATAATTCAAAAGAACAACATAATCAAAAACATCCCCTTTGTGTGTGCATTACCTCTGTGCTAGTCTGGCTTTGGTTTTGTGACTGAGTCTCGTTCTCCTGTCCTCGAATATCCAGGGAGTCCATGCTGGATGCAGAGGCAGAGTTGACGCTTGACCTGGATGAATGACCGATAGAACGCACTTCCTGGTCACTGACTGTCCCGACTGACCCTGTTCGCCGATGATGTGAGTTAGAAGGTGGATTGGCAGATGAATAAGATGAGGAGGAAGACTCAGAAGTCTGTTTCGCTGCTTCATCCATGCTCAAAGACGCCTTTTCCAGCTGAGCAGTGATGTCATCCAGGGAGAAGTTGGAAGCCAGGGGTCGAGATTGACTGTTGCCACCCCGAACAGTGGATGCGGGTGAGGCTCGGGTACTGCTGCTGGTGCTTCCTCCACTGCTGCCCCCTCCGCTGTGTTTTGCGCTGGCTGAGCGTCCTGTAGGCCTTTGTTTGGATTTGCCATCCAAGGTCTTGCTTATGGGTTTGCCTATGGTGCTGAGTTCTTGCTCTATTGAGCACAGGTCAGCCATGAGAGCATCCAGGTCCACCGTCTCACCCTGATTAATGGCTTCTGCACGAACAGACAGAGGATCATTTAAATGTTTAGGTCAACCAAAAGGTTTGAGATCAGTAAGATTACAATTTTTATTTTATTTTGGAAAGTATTTATTTTAATATAGACACACTAATCAAAAGTGCCAAATCTATATATGTATATAGATATACAGGGGTTTCATCACTGATAATAATAAAATGAACAAGTTACTTGATCAACAAATAAGCATTAGGATTTGAAATCTTATCTAATCATATTTAGTTTTAAAAATGACAAAAATTGTGAGGTTTAAAATAAATTATTATATATTTTTTAATCTTTTACAGAACATACATTTTTATATATGCATTAAATTAATCCAAATCCTAAAGTGTTTTTAAAGTGCTAATAATGTTTTAAAAAACACATTATATTTAAACATTTATAATCATTGGATATGTTACTTGATTACCATGTCATTATATTACATGCTTTCAGCTGCTATAAATTTAGCTTTGCTAAAGGAGTTAAAAACTCAGAAAAAAAAAAAAAAATTGTTTTTTATATACATTTATTTATTTATATGACAGTTCTGTCTGGTTCTGGAATCTGATTGACTGATAGCCATGTTAATATTCTGCAATATCAGAACTTGTACAGCCTCCTCACCCTTCTGTATTACTCCGCCCATATAGAGTGACAGCAGATCAATAAACTCACTACAGTTTGACCAATTAACATAATGTATTTTTCAGGCGAAAATGTAGTTTATTTATAAGGATTGTGCCTATTTTAAATATTTATTATTTCTGAGATACAGCGCATCGGCACCCATCAGACTGCCATACTGAGCAGAGCAGTTGACTTTGTCCATTCACAAGATGGCAACAGAGACCGCATAACAAGCACTTAGAAGAGAAAAGATTGGCATATTTTCAAACTACAGTTGATCAAAACATTATAAAATTGGTGAGTGACAAGTCTAAGTGGATCTCTCTCTTTTTTATGTTGCGGTGCTGTATTTATACCATAGTAATTGTAGTGTATTGAGTGTAAGATAGGACTCGCATATCAGGAATGTTTGTATTTTGTGCATAACCCTGACTTTTTGGGTGGCCATCTGTTTGTTTCTAATGAGTCTCCTATTTTCATTATAGCAGACTAGTTCAGTGAAAAGAAAGAAAGAAAGAAAGAAAGAAAGAAAAGAAATTAAGAAAGAAAGAAAGAAAGAAAGAAAGAAAGAAAGAAAGAAAGAAAGAAAGAAAGAAAGAAAGAAAGAAATGCCTGCAGCGTTTTTCCTGCAAACACAACAGCAATGCCAGCAGTGATTGCTTTGCTGTGGCTTTTTTGGGGTTAACTATTGTGATATCCTGATTGCAACAGAGAAATAGTGGGAAATGTCTGAGAATGACGGCATTTCATGCTGTTCAACGTATAATCTTAAAATGGCTGTAAAATCACCTGTTTTGTCATCACTTTTGACATTATGCTAGAGAATCATTCATTTATATAACGTCATATATAAGCTATTATTTCACAATATTACCTTTTTAATCAAAACAATAAAGTATGGGGGAGCATGAAGACTTCTTTCAGAAATACAAAAAAAAAAATCCTACCATCCCCAAACTTTAAATAAGAGAAAGATATTATAGAACTACAACCATTTTGATGTTATGCAGGCATTTTGTACGATAATTCATTTAAATGGATGTCAAAACAACACTGTATCTGTTTTGAGTGAGATTGAGGCGTTTTGAGTGAGATTTTGAGTGATAATGAATGTTGAGCAATCAGAGGTGTGTGTGTGTGTGTAGGGGGGTAGACTAACCATTGATGTTGTACATAGAGAAACGATAGGAGAAATTGGCAAGGTTTGTTTCCTGTCTGAGAGGAGCTTTTTGTACTTTCTCAGGACGCCCATCATCCAAACTCTAAATCAAAGACAGAAATGGGGGAGGGTGACATTAGGCAAGATGAGGTAGCTAACTCATCAGAATATACAACAGTAAACACAATGCATCAGAAGACCATTCTGGTTAAACCTTTTATTTTTGAAATTAAAATTTTTTATTGTCTGTCAATAATAAAATAAATAAATAATAAACAATAAAACGATAGTTCACCTAAAAAATGAAAACTTTGTCACCATTATTCACCTTTTACTTGTTCCAAAAGTTTATGATTTCCTTTTTATTAAACACACAAAAAGGAAATATTTTGAAGAAAGCTGTAAACCTGTAACCATTGTGTTGTCCATAGTGTTTGCTTTTTCGACTATGGATGTCAATGGTTACAGGTTTTTAGCATTCTTCAAAATATCTCCCTCTGTGTTTAACAGAAGTTGAATAAATAGTGAGAAAATAGTAAGTACATTTTCATTTTTGGGCAAACTATCTCTTTAATGAACTTGTTAACATGAACAAAACATTCGTAACATATTCAGGTCTAAAAATATATGTTAATAATCAATTCTAAATTTAGACAACGTCATACTTCAGGTTTGTCAAGACAGTGCTTAATTAAAACTGCGGTGAATTTAAATAAGAAATATCTTTTTCGACTATCTGAAGCTTATTTTCAATAACCTTATACTAACCTATTATTAGTATAATATAAAATAATATCAAATAGTATGTGATATAATGTCCATACTACCACAATCTACATGACCCTATATTATTATTCTCTGAACAGAACATATTGGATTCAATCAAATGGTATACCTATATCTACATTTCTTGAGAAAAATGAGCCCGCAAAATGAAAAATAAAACATCAAATTCAAGAGTGAGCGTCACCTGTGTGAGCTTGTCCAGTTCTCCCAACCAGGCACCAAACATCTTGTCCAGATCCTGGTCCTCCTTATCGCTGTCTTCTTCGGCAGCATGGTCCAGCTCATCATCTGATACCTGCTCCATATCTGCTGAGACACACACAAACAAACACACCCTCAGTACACGATACAGATGATGGATAAGGACCCATGTCCACATCAACAGACCACCTGATGTCTAAACATATATAAGATCACAGATACTGCACCCTGCTAACAAAGCATACCAAAAATTCAAGATCGACTTGTTGGCTTTGATGCGTCAATACTATTAGGTGTTTATTCAGTGTCAACTGAAGGATGACATGATCACATCTTGTCAAGATGATTCATTTATTTTCCTCACGTGCAACATCGCATCCTATATCAGTTTCTCTCTGATATCTGACATCACCATGGCAACCCTTGAATCTTTAAGGGTCGTAATATGCATCTGGAGTGCTTTAGCTTAACATCTGTCAGTCTGGTATCTTCAAGAAAAACTCAGATTTTTTTCATCATCTTCATTTATGCTGTCATGTCTGTGTAAAGTAAGTCATTATTTCAAGGTTGCCTTCTGAGAGGGTGTGATGTGGTTGTTATGGTAACCTCGGCTCTGCCTCGAAGACTGGCATAGTTGCTATGGCAACCCTCTCTAGATCTCCCACTATCAGTTTCACCCCCATCATTGCCATGACAACTCCTGCTGTATCTTCCACTGTAATTTCTAATGAAAACACATGCTGACTATAGGGTAATGTAATCAAATTACACAAAGCACCAAAAGTACTTCCGTGTCTTTTTTTAATGGATTATACATGACATGTAAACACACAAACGCACACATAAACAAAACATGCAGAAGGACATTTCTGTTTCACTCTGGTATACTGAAATGGCACTTCCCGATGTAAAATTGGAAACACTGAAGTCAAGAGAGCGATGGGTGGGTGTGTTAGTGATGACCTTAATAGAATGGAGGTGAGAGGATAATCATCGCCCTCTAGTGGACACCAAAATAACTGAGGTTTAGTCACTGCTTGCACTCAAAACAAAAGCTCTCGAGTCAGCACGTGTGTAAGCATATATTATGGCTTTTCACGTTGAGTCATAGTTGGGTGAATGAATAAAGGATGATGAACAACTATCTGATGAGTCACAAAAAAAGTAGACACATATTGATGACTCACTTTCACTATCAGCATAGGACGTGCTGACAGCCCTTTTCCAAACATACCACTACATGTAATAAATCCCATTTAATTTATATTTATACATTGTAACATAATAATAAACTGTGTATTTGTACTAATTGTTTTACCAGGTAGGGGAGCATAATATTGGAAAAACTTTATTTTATTTTTCTGCAATAAATATTGCGATATGAATACAGTTTCACAAGATATTTTGAATAGCACTATTTGATGATTTTCTGGTGAGTCTAACAGTATTCAGGTACATCGATTGAATAATCACAATGCAAAGAATGCTTTTCTTTATCTCAAAAAAAGGGTAACTGATCAAGTAAAACATCCAAATTAAGAGATTTTCCTTAAAACAAGCTAAATTATCTGCCAGTGGGGTAAGTGAAATAGTCTTGTTTTCATTTTGAAATGTAGATATTTGGAATATAAACAAGACAAAAATTCTATATATATATATATATATATATATTTTTTTTTTTTTGCATAAATCATGTAAATTCCATATAAAGACAGTAATTAAAAACAATTCTGTAGATCCTGCTCAACTATAATTGAGACTCAACATTGCAACAAAAACCAATCTTGTATCCTAGCCGTGAACCTGCAGTAGGTATGTTAATTAACTTTAAACATTACAATAAAAAAAATTATCTAAGCCAGTCAATCATTACAGTACAAAGACTAAATATATTACATTTATAATTGGTAAAATTGGGGTCTGTAAGATTATTATTAATGGCTTATGCTGAACTGTTGATGGACGAAAAGATCAGTTAAGGCAAGAATAGTGAAATATAATTATAACATTATATAAACATGCAGTATTTTAAAACACTAGTCTAGTATTTTTGCATAATAATTGTACAGAGTAAATGTTAGAATGTACAATTAAGTTTTATAGTTACACACGTTTTACATGTAAAAAAAAATACATACATACACACACATATATATATATATATATGTATGTATGTATGTATGTATGTATGTATGTATGTATGTATGTATGTATGTATGTATGTATGTATGTATGTATGTATGTATGTATGTATGTATGTACGTACGTACGTACATATATATATATATAGTTGAAGTCAGAATTATTCGCCCCCTCTGATTTTTTTCTTCTTTTTTGAATATTGCCCAAATTATGTTTAACGATGCAAGGACAGTTTCACACTATGTCTGATAATATTTTTTCTCTCTGGAGGAAGTCTTATTTTGTTATTTCGGCAAGAATAAAAGCAGTTTTATATATTTTTTAAAACATTTTAAAATCAAAATTTTTAGCCCCTTTAAGCTATATTTTTTCGATAATCTACTGAACAAGCCATTGTTATACGATACAATCACTATATACAATATACAGTAACTTGCCTGATTACCCTAACCTGCCTAGTTAGGACTTTAAATGTAACTTTAAGCTGTATAGAAGTGTCTTGAAAAATATCTAGTAAAATATTATTACTGTCATCATGGCAAAGATAAAATAAATCTTATTAGAAGCTTGTTATTAGAAATGAGTTATTAAAACTATTATGTTTAGAAATGTGTTGAGAAAATCTGTAAAACAGAAATTGGGAAAAAAATAAACAGAGGGGCTAATAATCCAGGGGCGGTAATTATTCTGACTTTACTGCCTTATAGTAAATATATAGTATAAATATATAAATATATAAATATATATAAATATATATATATATATAAAAACGCACACATACATTTTAAACAAATTATTTTGTAACACTATAAACATTTTCACTTATATTATTAAAAAAATATTTAATGCGTTACTTGCTATAGAAAAAAGATCTTACTAAAACTAAATGTTATTTACTTTTAATTCTAATATAAATGATCACAAGGGCTCTTGCGATTAATCTGACTTAAATAGTAAATATCTTAACTTAAACTTAAATTGTAAATATCACAACAACCCCATCAAGAACAGCAGTATAAAAGTCTCTTTAGAGCCCATGTTTGCTTTTGGAGAGTCCTGGTCCTGTTTTCTTACAACACAGTCCTGCTGATATTTAGTCTAACAGATCAGCAGGAGACTAAACCAAATGTTTCATTATTATGAGAAGGCTTCAGACAGCACTTGAGAGCAACATCTTCTAGTGTTTGCATATGCAAGTCTAGTGCAATGATGTTGACCTTATTCTACAATGCGGATGTGCACTCGTTTTTGTGATTGTGTTAGAACTTCTGATTCAGTAGCCTTAGGAGAAATGACTATAATTAACGGCATAAAACGGTCAAACTACTTGCTAGACAAACAAGTGTGTTCATGACTATACAGACAAAGAATACAGAATAATATAATAAGAAAACATCAGTTTGCAACAACAGGCAGCATAACCAGCTGTTTTTAATGTCTAAAAATGAATGGAAGTGAAGTGAGTGGGATCGGAAGTCTCGAGCCAAAAAGATTCAAATGGCTGTGCCGGCTTATACGTAAAGAATAAGGTCATTAATCAGAGACTTGCAGACTGAAATTGCAAACTCTCTTATGATCCATATCTTATTTTAAATTCATAATTATTGAGTTCTATATTGTAGTTTATAGTAATATATATGCAATCTGGACAGACCAATTTTGCAATGTTATATTGGCAGTTTATTATTTGTCTGTTTGTCTAAATCTTCCAAGCAAATGAAAGACAACATAACATTTGCATATTCTATAAAGATTAATATTATATTATATTAATATTATAGCATTTTTACAGTAAAGACTATGAAGTCGTTTTATGATGAATTCATTAATGATACATTATTCTTCATCAGTTTTTAAAGATATTTAGAATTTATATATTTATTCATTAACTTTTTTTTCGGCTTAGTCTCTCTATTAATCTGGGTTAGCCACAGAGGAATGAATCACCAACTTATCCAGCATTTTTCGCAGCGGATGCCCTTCCAGCTGCAACTCAGCACTGGGAAATACCCATACATTTAGAATACAATAGCAGAAATATGGTTTAGCTCTACGGTGGCATGGTGGCTCAGTGATTAGCACTGTCGCCTTATGTTCTCCCCGTGTTTGCATGGGTGTCTTCCTGGTGCTCCGGTTTCCCCCAAAGTAAAAGACATGCACTATAAGTAAATTGGGTTATGGCTGAAAGGGCATCTGTTATGTAAAACATATGCTGAAATAGCTGGCGGTTCATTCCGCTGTGGCAACCTCTGAAATAGAGACTAAGCAGAAGGAAAATGAATGAATGAATGAATGAATGAATGGTAATGCTCTATTTCAGGCATGCTGTCACATACTGTTCTTCACCTACGTTATGAAATCTGCAATTTCATATGGAGCCAAAGTGCTTAAATCAGTAAAGCGAATTGTGAAAATACATCTTTCACACCCTCCTGCTCGGTCTCACTAGTTTCAGAGCAGCAAGATGCTAAGTCAATCTTTTAGGAACGGCCATGGCTCTGCATAATCAGTCAAGCACAAAGAGCATAAATAAAAAGAGAGGAAAGGAGAGGGAAAAGTGTGGGACAAAAGGAGATTTGGCAGAATTATGGAAGAGCAGAAAATGAAAGGGAGATGGAGAAAGAGTGCAGAGGGAAATTAGAGAGGTGTGTTATCTTGGTACCCTGTTGCTTAACAGCTGCTGACTTCCATTAAGCTGCGTTAAGCTCTTTCTGTCTCACACACAAGAGGACTCAAAACTTTGACATTAAACGCATTCCTCTTATTTTGCCAAGCACTTCTATTGAATTCATGCCTTTTATACTTTGGAGGGGTGACTGCTAAAGAGAGAAAAAAAAAACTTTCGGAACTATAATGTATCTATAAAATGATACAAATGTGTATTTTTGACATTCTGAATTTCACAAACTATTTTCTTCATTACATTAGCTTATTTAAGAAAAAAAAAAATGAATCTGATTATTCTT